ATTATACTATAATAGAATGGTTGAGCTATATTAATTAATAATTATCATATGGGAACGAACATGACATTATGGAGGTCTTATCACAAATAAATGTATGTATCACGAACTAATAAAAATAAAAACTATATCGTAGTTCGTGGTATGTATTATACGCTAAGAAGTAAGATTATACGTATATAGTATATAATTATATGAGTTATATGTATATTATGATGAGACCTCTGCTAGAATAAGAAGCAATGATAAACATAGTCTTTCTCTCTTTCCCATTCCGGCATGCTTCCCTCAATACTGTATCATTATAATTTATAACCATGGGCCATGGCCTATCCGGTATCCATTCTTTAATATCTATGATAATAATTTGGCGACTTCCTATCAGGATAGGGTGGCCAGACGTCCCGTATTATACGGGAAAGTACCGTATTTCAAAAGTCTGTCCCGTTGTCCCGACATATGCTTCCGGGACGCTATATTGTCCCGTTTTTTAAAAATATGAATATTTTCATATAATAGAAAATAATATGTAAATAAAATTAAAAATATAATCTTCATCTATCTGTATTAAATATCAAATAAGGTCTACGGAGTAAATGTATATCGTATATAATAATGCATTTGTAGAATAATGATGTTTTTGCTATATTATTATGATAACCGATTTGTAAATATCGAATTCGATTATTCGAATATAAAGTTATTTTTGGTCTTCATCGTAATGGATCACAGCCCGCATAGAGGCTAACAATTTTTTTTGAAACATGTTCCGATTATATTATTACTGAGTGGACAAATCCAACACTATGCAAGTTCAATGGAGTTTCGTGGATTACTTTAAAAAATATAGAAGACGATTTCTCCTGGAAAAACATTTCAAATACAATACAATTGATAAAAAATGTAATCCCTAGTCTTACATTTAATGAGGCAGAATTATTTGACGAGTTTACTATTGTTAAAACTTAAAACCAATTTACAGAAAAACCAAAAGATTAAATCTTTTAACACGTTGGATGAAAAATGGACCTATGTTTTTCAAACAGCAGATATTGATGGAGACTTTCCGAATTTAAAAATCGTTGTGGAATTTTTAATGTGTATTCCAGGTTCTAATGCAAATGTTGAACGAATTTTCTCCGACATGAATAACTTGTGGACTGATGAGCAGATGTGATGTTAAAACTGTTAAAGCCATGTTAGTCGTAAAACATTTTTTCACTGAGGACTGTTCTGGGTTTCATGATTTTTTATTGGGAAATAAAAAACTTTTAAAACATATAGATTCGTCCGAAAAATATTTGCCGAAGGAGTCAAAAACTGTAATACTAAATACCCAAGCATCAACTTCGAACACCTGTTAAAAAATCATATTACACTATATTGTCTATATTATATTTATTATAGTTTATACTAATAAGTAAAAAAAAAATATTTATAATTTTTAAAATTATGATTTAATATCTAAAAAAGATTATTTTAGTATGTTAAATTTGTTAGTTATCAATTATCATTTTTAGATTTAAGACTTTAAATATTCAAGTATTTCATCAAAAATTGATGTTTATTCATGATAAAAAAATTCTTATCTTTGTCCCGTATTTTCGTATTTTATATCTGGCCACCCTATATCAGGATCATATTTCGATTAATACACGTGTTACAATATGTTTTTAGTTCAGTGATCGTCGAACCGCATTCCATGGTCAGAAATCAGAATAGAAATCTCACTCACTCCACGTCTCCACGCATCGCCAGGATTCAATTAGGACATATAGCGTCGCTTACATCATACGGTGGCTTTTCAAAAACAACCCAGATTTGTCGAAAATTAACAATTTATAATTATTTTTTTATGAATTACTTACAATAGAATAAATGCAATAACTTACTATGCAATAAATGTTTTATTATTTTTACCATGATTTAAAAAATCAGACACTGTAGTAACCCAAACACAAGAAAATGCAATGGGCCTTCGCCTTACAACGTCAAATGTCAAATGATTCGAGTCTTGAGCTTGGTACAAAATTAAGCGTTTGACATTTGTACAGTCACGTCCGTACTCATCGATTCATATTTTGTACCACGAACTATGGTCTTAGTTTGTGATTTTTACATACGAAATCGACAATGTTTATCCAAGCTGCAGTATAAATATGTTTAAGTATGCCGTTTATGGTATGGAAATATGGAATGTGGATATAACCATTGCAGACTGTAAATCGTAATAGCTAAATAAGCTAATACCTTATAGACGGAACGTACTTGCAGGTTGGCCGTGGTGGTCAAATGATTTTGTCAAGAGGTTAGGGGGATGGGGTAGTTTTGGCTGATTTTTAACATGGCCTATTTGATTCATAGACTATTATAATATAATTCTATGATTTGATTATAAAAAATATAATTTATGGTTATCAGCTCATACACATTGAAATAAAGGCCACCGGGGATATTTTTATGGACATACGAAGTAATTTCTTATACTATGATTGCAGCCAACACTAAAGTACTAAACCACCTAAGCCATGAATCTTGCTAAATTCCATGATAAAGAAAAGAGGTCTGCCAGCAACAATACGAATTTGAATCTTGTTTGGGCATCCTCACTTTTTCCTGTGTTGGGAACGGCGCAGGTAGCCCTTAGTCATTTGCTTTTCCCGTCAATTTTATCATCAGTGTGACATGGTAATGTACTAAAAAAATCGATTTTTCAGAACCGATTCTTGGAGTGACCGGTTGGATTCGATTTGATAAAAAAGGTAATTTTTCAACGATTTTATATGAATCGATTTTTTTCATTACAATTTAAATTGATTCACTTTCAAGAATCGCCCATCACTGTCTAGACTGTGACGTGACAGTCACATAGTGATTTAGGTACTAATTTATGATGACAGTGTCTATGTTTCTCACACGGACTAAGATATACCTGGGTATATAATAAATAAATTTAAAAATTTAAAAATAAAATAAATAAATAAATGTAATAATTAAAAATAAACTTAAAACTAGTTTATAGATCAATGATTTAAAACTAAGGACTAGTTTCAAATTTATTTTTCTGTTCTATTTACTTTATGGATTTCTAACGTTTGGGTCGTTTATCTTCTGGAAAATTACGGGCGTCCTTATAAACTTTGTGGAGAAAAGCAATATGGCAGATATGCGTATCACAAATAGTTGCTGACATACCAATTTTTTTTATCATACATTCATAATAAATTCAAAATGTGAATAAATGACTATTCGAGTACCTGTCGAATAATAATAATTTGTAAAACCACTGATAGAAGTCTCATCTCATATTTGTGAATTTTAGTTATAAGTTATAACTGATTATGGGAATTCACTGCAAAAGCAATATCTTATAATGTTTTACATAATATAATATAACTAATATTAGATATGATTGATTTTTAATTTTTACAGAATATATAGGTTGTCCTCATTTTGTTACTGATCGTGTGTACACAATTAAACAAGTGAATACTTAAGTTATTTTCGGATTAAATAGTTATTAATTATTATATTTTAATATTTTACTTAATAATTTTAAGTTCATGGCGGGAATTATTTATTTCTTATAACCTCTTTGAGATTGTAGCGGTTTGGACAATATTAATTTCTAACATAACCATCAAACTTCAATATCATTGATAAATGATAAATAAAATAATATACAGATTACAGAATAGAAATAAAGGATTCCTTCAAGTTTCAACGTTCGAATTGGTATTTGGTTTCCAATTAAGTTCCAATTTAACATATCTAAACGTAAGTAAAATATTAATATAATAGTACATATTTTGCTTTATAATATATGAATTTAAATGTGTTACATATTTTGTAGTATTGACCATTGGTTATAATTAGTGTTTAGTACCTATAATCAAATATTGTGCCTATAATAAATTTCAATAAATGTAATATCAGTACTTATTCACTGTTCAGTCATTCAGTGTCAACTATATGATTATGAAGATTATTTGCTTATATTGGTTAAATATAATTTTAAACAAGTTGCTTATCGAGCTATGTCCATATCGACCATATCCAACATTCTCAAGGAGTGTTGTCTATTGTTCTGTTCGACTGTATAAGACTCGTTAGTAGTTTAAAAATATGTCGATTTAAACCTATTTATCATAATATGATATATATTATATGATTTGTAACAGAAAGTCTCGACAAATGAAAAATTGATATTAGTGAAACGTATAAAAAATGGCCCATGGAAAAAAGGCCACAGAAGAAAAGCCCAGAAATATAGATGTGAACACACGTATTCTCTACTCCTAATTAGTAATTACCATGTACCTATGATAAATATTATAATATATTATGATGAAAATAATAATTAATTGTTAATTGTATAAAATATAGATTGTAAATAAAATAAAAATAGGTATAAATATGAACACAATATTATGTATCTCATGACATATTGTGTTATAAGTTAAAAGTCAAAAAACATAAGTCTTATTAGGTATATTCATACTAAAATATTGACTATTATCTAAATATATTATGCTACCACCTGTTTTGTATTAACTTATTATACTATTATTTATATAGTTCAATAGTTACTTAATTTTTGTATACATTTTAGTATGGTTATACTTATCGAAGATTTATGTTTTTTGACTTATAACTCATAGTAGTATCTATATATACCTAAGACTGATATTTTTTGACTTGGAACTTATAAGTTATAAAACAGTATATATCATGATGTATATTGTATACATAATATTGTGTTCATATTTATATTTCTGGGCTTTTTTCAGTGGGCTTTTTTTCCTCGATTCATAAAAAAATGTATGAAAATAAATTTGGACAATAGGTAAATAATAAATTTAAGATTTACTTATGTTGAAAAATAAAGTATCAATTTATCAATTTGATTATAAATTTTGTATTATGCACCATGTAAATACTGAATTGAAAAAGAAGTGTTTTCATTTCTTGGGTTTTCTTAAATATTTTGTTATTCCAGGAAAATGTCTACTTTTTGCGGAAAATTAGAAGAAAAGGAATTAGGATTCATTGGCATTGATTCTTTTGAATCACATCTGCTGAGTTGTTCTACTTTTATGTTGTCCCATTTTCATAAAGACCACATGCGTGGTATTCAAGATCAATCTTTTCAAGCGGCATTCAATAATATTAAGAACAACATGATCCTATATGCATCGCCATTGACAATAACTTATTTAAAGCGAAATAAATCCATTAATCTCAGAGAAGATAAGCTTATACCTCTTGAAATTGGTTTCCCTAATTTATTAAAAGTGGATTCAGAACATTTTGAATACATTTGTGTGACCCTATTACCAGCTGGACATTGTCCAGGATCAGTCATGTTTTTGATCGAAGCCCGTCCACATCGTATTTTATATACTGGAGATTTCCGAGTACAATTACAAGATATCAAACAATTTAAACCACTATTGATGGATAATGACGGTAACTGTGGTCCAAAAAATATATCTGCATTGTATTTAGATACTACTTTTGCATCCAAAAAATATTATGAATTTCCAATGAGAAAGGAAAGTAGTGCCAACTTGATAAAAGTAGTTGGAGAGTGGTTAGACCAAGACCCTGATAATAAAATTTGCTTGTGGATGCCTGGATATGTGGGCATAGAATATGCCATAGTCGAAGTTGCCAAACATTTTAAATGCTCTATTCATGTGCATAAACAAAAATATGACGAATTGTACAGTTCAATTGCAGATTTAGACAACTATGTAACACCAATTCTCACTAATAATAGAATACACGCATGTTCAAAAACTGAATGTGACACTGATAGCATTAACTGCATGGAATTAAATAAAAATGTAAAATGTGTACAACTTAATGCCCTAGCATTTACTAAGGATGTGATAGACATAAGTGGTCATGTAATTGTTAAAAATAACATAACCAGAGTTTGTTATTCAAGCCACTCCAGTTGTAAGGAATTGAGAGAAATTGTGAGATTCTTAAATCCTGAAAAATTATATTTTAATGTTATTGTTAATCAAACAGTTAAAGAGATATATGATATTTTAACCGAAAACAATTGGACTCCTAGGACGCAAAAGAAAGATGTCAAAGAAAATACAAAAGTGATTTTAAAACTCTCCAACAAATATCAATACAATCAAAATGTACAAAATAAAACAGAAAAAGTATTCAACAAAAGACCAAGAATTGAATCTCCTGAAAGAGAATGAATCTTAAACCTAATTATTTACATTTTTTTTTCATATATTTATTAAGTATAAAGCTACTCAATCAAATGTTGAAATACTATCAAATATGTATATATATAAAAAAAATAGTATTTAATGTTTTATATCTTCGATAAGTATCATTTTTGCTAAATGGTATACTATACTATATTATTATCAATAGACTTATAATAATTGTTACTAAAATTAAATACATTTTTTTTTTTAAGATACCTAATGGTTTACAACATTTACTACAAAATTAATCTTAAGTATACTATTACAAATAATTACAATAATATTGATATTTGTGATAACCAGGTTTTTGAATGATAATTTTGCATTAAAAGCCTCTCAACAAATGTTCAATGATTAGGAAAAATGGTTAGGATTTAATTTTCATTGACATTTTAGTAATAAATACTATGTGTTTTTAGTATTTCAGATATTTTAAAAACCTAGTACAGCAAGAAAAAAAACCATGGAAGAATTTGGAAGGGAACCATGTCCAATGAGAATATTAGAAGACCTTGGCGGAGCTTTTGCCATGGGTCTTATTGGTGGTGGTATTTTCCAAGGTATAAAAGGCTTCCGTAATGCACCCACAGGAGTTAACAGACGTTTTAACGTAAGTCCAATTTTATTCATTTATTCAGTAGTTTACAAATGCTCCGGTAAAAAATAAACCTAAGTAAAACGGGAATATTTACGTAATATCGGTTTTCTACAAAATCGATTTTGGTTTTTGGTGTAACTATATAACAAATGACCGTAGATAGTAATTTTAGATATTAAAAAATGTTTGTTTATTTTATACTGGTACTATTTTAAATGTTATTTGTATATTAAAAATATTTAGTATATATATATATATATTATACATCAGATGCTTTAGATAAACAACAATTTGGAATATTTAATTTTTTTTGTACAGAACTTGCACTTAACACGAGAATGTCTACGTGTCGCTGTTACATTAAAGCTGTTGGGCCTGGATTTCAATGCAAAGTGCATCTTTTTTTTTGGGTGATCTTAGACAATTCGTTTAAAGTACATAATTTTTTTTAGACACTTCAATGGTGAAACTTTTATTTTGTTTTTTATTGTATATTTGGATTTTTTTTCATTTTTTAGCTTTTTTCGGTTTTTAACTATTTACCCACTTAGGTCTATACAGAAGGAAAAACATGTATCTAATAGTACAATCTGTAAGGCCATTATTATAATTTATAAACACGGAACTTCTAATCAAATTTCGTTTTTTTTTTTTTTTTTAATGTCTAGTAAATAATTTTAAATTTACTGTACATTTTAAATTAGGTAGGTGTACTTAATAAAACATTGCATTAAAAAGAAAATTTTATATTTCAATTTTTAAGGGCATTTTAAGGGTAAAATTAATTTTTTATGGACTTTTAGCCATTATGTAGTTTTTTTCACAGTTTTTAGAGCATTTGAATGTGGACCTTAGTTATAACATATACTATTCGTTGCTGTTTGATTTTTAGTCTTGTGCCGTTACTGCTAGAAGCTCGACACTCAATGAGGCAGTTGCTGCTTTCTCCTAAGTTGATGCATGCTAGGTTAAGTTGTGAACAGAGCATGTGCAAAATAATATTGGTTTTGCATAAATATTCCTTTTTCCTTATTGTTTTTAAAAAAAATTTCCGATCACTAGATATTTTTCTTTTCAACGTACCTACTAGATCCAATCTAGTACAAGAAACTATCCTCAAAGTCTAAGATCGAAGTATTACTACTAATTTTACAACGTTCTTTGGCCAAAAAAAATTAAAAGCAAAGTATATTTTTGTGTATCTATCGTATATTGTATGAATACAATTTTCTTAGACCAATAGATATAAAAATGATATCGGTACAAGATCTAAACTCCTAATTAACAATAAAATACCTAAATTATTACATTTTCTATAGCAAAAATATTATTAGAATTGTATTTCCACTGTTTTTCTAACAATACAATCATCTAATATCCAATATAAACTTCAAGTGCCAAAGTTGATATTTTTAATAAAAATGTTTGATATTCAATTTATATGTTAGGTAACTAATTATTAATAAACCAATTTGTTTTATTTAATCTATATGAATTTAATTCTATTATTTTAGTCAGTATATTAACAGTGCACATATTTGTGTATTTTCTAGGGAGCTTTTCATTCTGTGGCAACCAAAGCACCCAACATAGGTGGTAGTTTTGCAATATGGGGAGGATTATTTTCAACCATTGATTGTTCACTAGTGGCCATCAGGAAAAAAGAAGACCCGTGGAATTCTATTGCCAGCGGTGCTTTGACCGGTGGTATATTAGCAGCACGTAATGGAATACCAGCTATGACAGCCAGTGCTGTTTTTGGAGGTTTACTATTGGCAATGATTGAAGGGTTTGGATTATTTTTTATGCACATGTCAGCCGAACAATTCAGACCTCAACCACCTGTATTTGAAGATCCCACTCAAATTAACCAACCTAACGGTGGTTAATTCAACAAACCTATTTAATATTTCTTTTAGTGTTTATGTGTAATTTCTTTAAATGTAGTTATGCAATCAATATACTTGTTACTTTTTACCAAACTATACTGGATTTATGTTGAAAAAAAAAATGAAACTACCTTCTACATTGAAATTTTGATGTAGGCCTTAGTCAATAAATTATAATATTCTGATTCTTTGAATATTATAAGTATGCTGTATAAGAATATTGATAAAAATAATCGCCTGCAAGGTGATATCTATGTTGGATACTTATTAATTAAATTAAATATAATATTGTTATAAAAACAGGCCAACAGTATGTAGCATATACGTTATTGCTCTATGGTCATGTTAGAATAAATGAAATATAAAATTTTCTTATACTAATAATTATATATCTCGGCTCGGATTTTTGTCTTCTAAGTTATAAGAAAAATGTCAAAAAACAAGACTAAATACTGTACCTAATAGCACTATTACTGTTACAAAACTTAAAAATTGACTTTAAAAATTGTTTTCAATTTAATGTTAAATAAAAACGGTCAACAAAAATCAATCTGTATTATTTAAATTTATTGTAAATTTAATGACCTACCTGTCTCTATAATGTCTGCCTGCACTTGATGAAAATACTGTTGGTCGGACTATTGTGCAACAGCGCCTGCATCTGAGTGATATCAGTCTAGGAATGAAAAAAAAGGGCGGGAGGAGGATAGAAAAAAAACTAAAATACATAATATTTTACTATATGAATGGCAATTTGTTAAAAGGGACCCAAGTTACATTTTTGACAAAAATAGTTTTATTGTATATTATTCATCCTCTTATGTAAACACATAGTTTTGTGCTAAAAAATACTTATTTCGTATTATCTTGTCTGTGCAAAATTATTATGAAATATTTCATAGTTTGTTAAAAAATACCCATGTACCTATGTACTTATTACTCAAATAGAAATAAAGGATAACTGTTTTTTGTTTCTCCTGAAAAGTAGTTGAAAATGTACAAGGGTCCCTTTTAAAAAATTGCCATTCATATTATATTTATATATTAATAAATAATAATCATAGGATTAAAATTTGCTTGTGAAAAATTTAAATATTTTAGAAAAATGTACAATAATGTCGTACATGAATACATGATACATACAAATAATAATAATATAATAATAAATAATACACTTTTAATGCATAAATAATCAAGACAAGTAGTTGGATAAAAAATATAATATTGGTAGTTTTAAAAATGAACTTAAATATAATTTGACCAATATTCTGTCATACTTCCAGAGTTCTAGCCGTTCTAGGTGATGTCCTTGAAAATATTTTTATTACTTCATGAATATTTTATTACAGGATTTCTTTATGAATATCTATGACTGGACCATCTACTCAAATGTTCCTGGCACATAGTCAGTATCAAAAATTTTTGAATCTTCTCAATATCTATTCGTTAACCACTAACTGTGGTGACTGGTATTGTGGCTAATATTTGCATTATTTTAAATAATGTTTTAATTATTGAAAAAAGAGTCATTACAATATTTCATGTTTTGTGATGTTTCATAGATAAGAAGACAAGACTCCGTCTTCGAAAAACATAGAAAATAATCTCGGTCATGAACACTGAACATAAACATAACACAACATATTTTATCAAGTTACAACTTACAAGTAGAACCTGTTTATGCAATGTACATACAGGTGATTAGGTGAATTTAACTTTATTGATTCTCAAAAAGTTGTAAACGTCTTGCATCTCTTCCGAAACAATAAACAGTTTCATCATAAAATTTGTTTTTTTAATTGGGTCATTCATCGTAAATTTATGTAGCATCGAGTCTTTTGTCGGTCATGGTAGTACATAACCAGGATTTAACCCTCCTCAACGTTCTGAAGAAATTGAAGAAAATACAGATAGGTAAAATATTTTATTTTAGTTTTGTTTCAGGCTATATTCAATTAGTTGCATGGCCGGATAGCTTAAAACTAATGTGGGCCCCTTTGGTATATGCGCTGTACGTACAAAAGATGGGAAGACGAAAATCATGGCTTATACCGGTTCAATATTCAATATTCAATGTTCAATATTAAAATAAATATAAAACACATGTTTATTCAAACGAGGAAGTATCTCTTTAGATTGCTTTATGATTTGCAAAGGTGGGCAAGTTAATGAAAATGATTAACTCAACTACTCAAGTATCTAGGTAGATAAATTATTTAACTAATTATATTTAACTAAGTACTAACGTACATAGGCACGATTATTATTTATAAATTATAATCATTTAAAGTACTAATTTTGACAAAACCACAATTAATTTGTGGTTAAAAATTCGTAAAATGTCCGGTCGGTATTGTAATGATAAATTTCCTAACGTTTAAACAATGTTCTTTAGGTCACTAGAATAATTGCTCTACACCAAATCTAAAAAACATAAGAAATTCAAATATAATAAGTTGATAAATATACAAGCAATGACAGATGATTATTATGTTTATTATGTTAAATTTCAAGTATTAAGTCGAGAAATTTGTACTAGGTATGTGTGCACGTAGTTGTTTCATGATAGGCTAGCATACGCATAAGAAAAATATTCAAAAATGATACTGAATTTAATTTAACATTATAAATTATAGTATAAACGATTATAAATAGACGAAACAGATACATTTTTTGAAATGTTCATCTTATGGTATACCTACACTTCTCAGTCTTTATCTATATGTTTTTAGATCTAAACAATTTATTGGTGTTGAAATAAGTAGGTATTTAAAATAACAATTATTCAATTTGTATTTACATTATTTCCTATTTTTGTTTTTTGATTATAGATGTGTAGAACAATCAGATTTTTAAAAATATAGTCAACCCTGAATTTACTTATTAGAATTAGTTGAAGCATGAAAAATAGTTTTCATTATTAATAAATAATTCGAAAAACGTTTAATTCAAAAGTGTATAAAATGTAATAAAACATAACATGCTTTACTTACATAAGGTAGTACCTACTTAGTTTCTGACGTCAAATACTCAAATGTTTATACCTAGTACCTAGCCGAAAATTTAATCTAACTGCCTGATTCAATGTTGATAAATTACGATAACACTAATCATAGAATTTTCTTTTCTGACGACTCTGTACTGTGTTTTATAATATGTAAAACTTCCGGACATACAGAGCCGGACTGGGTCAAAAATGTCTACTGAGAAAATAAAAAAAATAGGCCGACCTAGGTATACCTATAAAAACAACCCTAAAAACATATATTTTCATATAAAATAATTGTATAATATTTTGAGAATTTGAACACTTAATATTATTATTATAAATTAAAAATTGGTTAGTAGGTACAAAGAAATGTTATCATTTTTATTCAAAAAACATATGTTTGGACTCCGGAATACGTATTAATACATATTACGCAATTTGTTAATGTTTGAGCTCTTTTACGAAAGTGTGTCCACCATAATTATATTAGTATTCCTTAGTTCAGCCTCAACGGTGGCACCGGAATAGGTGAGAGTTTGTGTGATGATAATTTATTGTCGCACATTTTAGGCGGTGGGTTACGATAAGGTAGGGATACCGATTAACGAAGACAACAATATGATACAACACACAAGCATCTATTTTTGACAATTTATACATTTTTTAATATCTAATTTGAGGAATTTTCTTAATACTAAATAGTTTTCTAATACAATTGCATTAGAAAATGCGTCTATGTCTATGTCCCTACGCGTACAAGCGACCCAATTCAAACAACAGGCCCATCTAAAAACATCAGGTATCCCAACTGCCCAGTCCGGCCCTGAGGACATATATCCACAAACTGCCCAAAAAAACCAACTGAAACCTCAAAAGAATCTCAAAACAAATTTCCCCAAAAACAAATTTCTAATACAACAGACAATATGCAACACTCTGTACAACCATTCAGCAGCACATTACATAACCCAATGGAAATAGGCAATAGCACACGAAAATAATCAAGAATTTAATGACATCCAAAACCAGTTTAACTTACCTATAGAGCAACATTGCGATCATACGGCTAACGACAAAAAAAATGAAAAAACAAAAAAAAATTAGCCTTTTCATCCGCTTCACCTGTCTCACCGACTCTATCTCAAAATACAGAAACACCCTCAGTTTTCGAAATAGAAACACAAAATGTAATAAATACGCGTATAATCACTAGGTACCTCCAAAACAAACGTAAGCTTAGTTGCAGCAAATAATAACATGAGCGAATGCAAAATACAAAGACAACGAAGAAAAAACTTCACTCCCACAATGACACAAAACAATTTAATTATTACAAACTTCAAAACAACTGCAACAAATAAATTTATTGACAACTTAGATGAGTACCTATTTAGAGTAATAACTAATTATAAATTAATAAGTGATTTAAATTAACACAATTTTAATTCAAATGCTGTTGTAAAACAATTGGAGGTGTTTGCGTTGTTATAGTAAATGCGTATTACGTAGAAACAGCTGTGAACCATCATCGGAATCATTTGGTTTTGTATTTTCAGAAATATCCTTAAAAATGTTCAAACTAAGGGAAGTTCTTATTGGTTTTTCAATATAAAGAGACCAAGAAAATGAAATAAATGTATATTGATCTATGTCCATCTAGTCATAGTGATGAGCATTTCAAGAGCCTAAATGTCTATTGTAATTTATTTATTATTTTAGTATTATATATGATTATATCAATAATTGTTATTGGGTTCTTTAGAAATGTTTCATCTATGATCTATCAAATATAATATGATGGAATCAAGAAGTTTTATTTAACCATAAAATGAATAACTATTAAACCGGTTACCCTAATTTAGGGTCATTCACTTCGTGACAGTATAAATAGTATAATGTATATGGGTAGTGTTTACTAATTTTAATTGTAAGGTTCTATTATAAGTTTAACTTTTAATTAATTATATAAAATAAATATTAATGATTACCAAGATTTTGAATATTTATTCAATTTAACATTAAAATCAAATTCATTATACAATTTAGCAAACGTTAATTTGTGGTTTTTGAGATTTTTAAAATAATATATGCTTATCATCTGCACAATTTGTCTGATTTATTCCAATTTATAAGGTATTAGTTGATTCAGTTTCAGTAGATAATTTGTTATGTTCGGTAAAATGGTTTTTAATATAAATAAATAATTTGAAAATGAGTTTAAAAAAAAAAGCTGGTAAGTGGATGTCGCTCTGCTATACAGTAGGTTGCAAGTGGGTCAATATATAATGGATTGTATTAAATTTGAATTCAATGATATATTATCATTGTATAAGAAAAATGATTCTGAGCGGAGATGGTTTGTTAGTCTGGATTTTATATATTTTTATTATTTATTATAGCCTGTAAGTTGAATTAATAAATAAATATAATAAATTATTGGTATTATTAATTTTTATTCGTTTCTATAGTGATAAACAAAGCTTTAGAAATTAAAATCCCATTTTTAGCGGTTTTTCATAATTTGTCGGTGGTCCTGGAGTAGGATAGAAAAAAAACTAAAATACCTATTTTTCTATATTATATTTATTTGTTAATATTTGTAGGGTTAAAATTTGCTAGTGAAAAATCTAAATATTTTAGTAAAATGCATAATAATTTATGTCATACATGAATACAATATACATACTAATAATAATAATGCATAAATAAGCAAGACAAGTATAGTCAATTTAAATAGGTAGTTGATAAAAAATATAATATTGGTAGTAGCAAAAAAGAACTTACAAAAAAGAAAAAATGATTACGTTAAGAGATATTAAGAAATGTAGAATAGCCGCGGGACGTCATTGGGCCCGGCTCATCGTAATTGCCTATCTCAGCGTATCTCAACCTTTTTTTCATTTACGTACCCCTTGACCTCTCACCACTGCTTTACGTACCCCCAAATGTAAATTTATTATATATTCACACACAACACAAATAAGATATTATGAAATAAGTTCGATGATGGGAAATTTGAAAATAATATTTATTAATTAATTTAATTAGCTATACAATGTACATATATATATATATATATATATAAGTAATATAAACTTTACAATTTAATTTTAATGAGACCCTTGTGCTTGTTGATGGCACATAATTTTTTGAAATCTGGCTCCTTGGATGATAAGTAAACTCGTAAATCTGAACTCACAGAGTGTCTATTACGATACTTATTTTTAATGTACGTGTACGACGAAAAGCCCGAAAAGGTCCTCCACCAATACAGTATTCGTGAACGGCAGCAGAACATTAAATGCTTTGTTTGAAAGCTCAGGATACTCTTCTTTTACGTCAGCCCAAAAAGCGATGAGAGATTTTTTTTCAAATGTTACCTCAAGTGAAGAATTCGTCTTCAGTTCAATAAGTTTTTCTTTTTCTCGTACTGATAAAACTGCAGATTCGAAATATTTTTCACTGAAAGGGAATGCTATCCAGTGGTCTCCTTTTTCACATTTTGGGAAGTATTTATTAAAAGCCGCCTTGAGTCCATTCAAATGTTGAACAACTTGAACTTCGAACGTCTTGAACGACTTCCACAACTTTAACTTTTGTACAAAAGATTCTATTTTGTCAGTAACTTGGAATATTGTTACTGTTGTACTGTTTTGAAGAGTAACTTAAGCCACAACATTTTGACCACATTATTCTCTTTTCGATGAAGTAATAGCATGGAAAATATCTGCACCTGTTGTGCTTCAGTAAGAGGATAGCAAAGCAAAAGCCCTTCTACGCTTTCGAATAGATTTCGATATCAAACTAACAGAGAGTGATGTATATGAGATAAAGATGGTTAATGGATTTTTAATAGACAAATGATTGACATTGTATTGAACAACGTTACGTAACCCGATAAGATAAAATCCAGTGTCCAGCTGTGCGGGCGAATGTAAGTTCCCACATTATTAAATATTTCACAAATTACAAACCATTTAAAATACACAAATTGTAATTTTTTCCGCCATTACGCTTTTTTTTTCACGTACCACAGGTTGAGGAACGTTGGCCTATATTATACGGTATAATTTATACCTGTAAAAGTTCTTCGCTTCAGACGATGATTTACCAATATAAAATTTTTTTTTTGAAATTTAGTGTATTTATAAATGGGCGATTTTATGTGTTTAGTTTTTTGAATATTAATAAATCTTTAAAGTGATATTTTTGATTACTTTCATTACTTTCATTACTTCATTACATTCTTCATACTTATCAATACTTATCATACTTCAATCATTATCAAGGGCCGTTTTCATTAGTCGGTCAATATAAAGAGACCAAGAAAATGAAATGAAGGTACAAACTATATCCTATAAAACCTTGAACATGAAACTTCAATTTTCTAATGATTTATGAATAGGTAATGAGTAATGACGTAGCCACGTAGGTGAATACTTTCAAGAATTTTTTATATTATTCACAACATTATAGCGAAATTGTCTATTTTGTATATAAGATATTATGCTTTTACTGATTTCATAATATTATAATAAGATTAATGTCATACAGGACAAATACATTTTATTTTCAATAAACCCCGAAAAATGTTTAGGTAGTGACGTAGTGTTAACAGAATTAATTGTTTGAAAAAAATACCAATAAATATAAACAAATACAAGATATTTTATACAAATAAATATAGACTATTTTATATAATATTATTTAAAATAATTTATGTTATATTATATAAATAACCATGTTATGTAACTTTCAAAAATAATATAAATATTGTAAGTAGATTTGGTATATTATTGTATCAACATACTCAATTAGAGTAATTTAGTTTAACTTAATCTGAAAAATATATGTAAATATAGGTATATGTAGAAAATAGAAAAAAAATATACTATTTAGTACATTTTACGTAGTTGAATTCTTTAACATTTGTTAACCGTTCTTCGAGGTTACGAAATTTCTAACTTGAGACTAACACAACATGCATGGTAACAACGCCATACTGGACCTAGGCCCAGTGCCCCAAACTGTCACATGGCGTTCACAATATAGGTGGGGGACTCATTGAAATTTAATAGGTACTGTTTTATTTTTATTTGGTTCAGTCTAATAATTTTAGGGGAGGTATTTGAAAGTTCTTGTACAACTTCAATTTTTCTAGTAGAAAAATGCTCTGATCATCAACTTCGATGGAGGTTTTTTGAAGAAAATTGGACCTAATTGGCACTTTCAGGAGGTTGAAATTGAATATGTTCAGTAGGTACTAATATCCATTTCATATTTTTACTGTTGGTTTTTTTTATCTCATTTACTAGTATTTAAATCGACGACACCAGGTTTTTCCTTTTTTGGTTTTACGACCAAAAAAAAAGTTTTTTTTATGGTTGCTAATGTCTATGTACTTCTTGGCATACCAATTTATATAACTATAAGGGCAATTTAAGGTAATTAATGATTTAGAATAATAGCATGTGGTTTTAAATCGAGAGATTAATTGTCACAAGCCCAATATTTATCACGTTGACCACCGTGTAGCCGCCGGCGGCCACAAGAATATGTGTTATTGGTAAGCCCAGCAAATTTTTCAGTGTCATTACAAATTTGTATGTACTTACTATATTGAATTGGAAAAAAAATTGCATAAATATGCGCTATAATATGACCTTAACTATCGCCAAATATGCGTTAAAAATATGCAATAAAAACAACAAAATATGAAAAAAAAAAAGGAAATTTATTAAGCTTCGTTGCTTTAATATGTTTATCTGTTTTTAAGTGCTGAGTTATGTTACATTTTTTTTCACTGTTCACTTTACACTCACATAATTGACAAAATAATACATTGTCATCTACCTTAAACACTTCTTCGCCAAACTCGGATACAAAATTATCGAGTTTACACGAAAGACATGATTTAACTTTTGGCATTTTAAAACAAAGTTACTACACACAAACGGCGAAAATACAACGTAACACACGAGTACAGACACACGAGACGGACTATATAAAATGAATTGACTATAATACAACGTTGATAATCGCAGTAGAAATCGACAAAAAAATAAACCCAACAAAATTAGCACATAACAAAAATTAGAACCAAATACCTAATACGAAATTATCGTAGTATTATATTATACCTATATATTAACGCTGTACGGCGTTGCATCATCGTAATCGGCCTATTTACTTAATCTAAAGGTACATTTACAATTTATTTGATAATTCAATTGACAAAAATCTAAAAACACGTTTAATAAAATATAATTTCATAAAATTTTGACAGATTTTGATTCAAAAACAGGTAAAAATGCAAAAAAGTCTCAAGAAACCCAAAAAAAAGCAGTAAAAACTAAAAAATCGTAAAAAATGCAAAAAAAAAGCAAAATTTTTAATTTGATTTCTCTGTATCATTAAACACATTTTTAGCTTACTCTGCTTTTTTTTAAGCATCTCATAAGAAATATGAAAATCCCAACCATGATTATTATCATCATTATTCATCAACGTATTAGGAGTCGGCTAACCGACCCAATAAAATACTATATTATAGCATAGACAATATTGTTCTACAGCCAATGTAAAAACCATTAGACATTCATACATAACAAGGTAGTGAGGAAACGAATATTGAAAAGTGATTATACTAGTATCCCACCTTATAAGGCTTATAAGGTAATACAGGTAATATTAATTGAATGTACTCACATTACAACAGAATAATTTACCATATTTTGTGCATAACGAGTTTGTTTACTTTCATAGTTTTGCTTAATTATTTTTTGTTACACTCAGTATATGTGCGTTATGTGGTTAGTACTATATGACGCTAAACCTTAAATATGACTACGGTATCACAGTTTGAAGCTGAACTAGAGAACTTCACAGAAGGGGTAGTTGTTGATGATTCAAATTCCGCCGAGAAACCAAATTTGAAAGGAGATTGGTTGAATTTTTTCCTGTTGTTATTACTGTATACGATGCAAGGCATACCATATGGTTTAGCATTGGCAATTCCGATACTTCTGCAAAGCAACAAAAATGTTTCTTACAAAGATCAAGTAAATATCTGATTCAACATCAAAATTGCGTACACGTGCGAGTAGAATTGTATTAATTATGTTTAATATTGACTTGTATCGAAGTTTACGTAATTGTATACTTTACCGTTTTAATATAAACGTGTTCGTATTTTGTACCAGGCTATATTCAGTTTAGTTTCATGGCCGGATAGCTTAAAACTAATGTGGGCCCCTTTGGTAGATGCGCTGTACGTGCAAAAGATGGGAAGACGAAAATCATGGCTCATACCGGCTCAATATACAATTGGTGCGTGTATAAATATGAATTATTATAAATGTCTCTGTTACGCACTTTATTTAAACAAGGGAGAATCTCGTTATTGCGTTATTCTTTGCAAAGATGTGCAAGTGAATTAAAATAATTAACTCAAGTCCAGTTAATTAAAAAAAAACAAAATCGATAAGTTAGAAGTTAACAAATCATAAACTTGGTGGATAATTTTAAAATCAACTGAGATTCATTTCAACTGTCAATCCTACTATAGTTATTGCCATAAATGTATTAAAAAATTATCTAACTAGTTAATGATTGCCTTTAACGATTTGCGTAGTATCTGCTATTTGGCTGCATTTATCTGTTTATTGTTAGAATGTGTATTTTACGAACCCAGATACTTTAAAGCATATTATATAACCGATATTATAAAACCTTTGTGTTGAACAGGAGCATGTTTTATTTATATGGCCGGAAATATTGATGAATGGTTGCCGGAAACACGTAGACCAGACATAACAAAATTGGTAACAGTATTCTTCATCATGAAAACCTTGGGCACCACGCAAGACATAGTCGTCGACGGTTGGGCACTGACAATGCTCAAGAAGTTAGTGTTATTGGTCACTTTTTCATTATTTTGAATTATTTTAATATAAACCATCTTAAATAATACCTGTGTTGCATTTATATAACGCACAGGAATAACGTAGGCTATGCATCTACATGCAATGCAACTGGTCTAGTGATGGGCTGGATGATAAGTTATGCATTTTCCGTTTTGATGACGTCAGAAGACTTCGGCAACAAGTACTTAAGAATTAGTCCAGATATGGGAGGAGTGTTTACTATGAAAAGTAAGCGATTAAAACTGATTTATGTAAATATTTAGTGGCAAATAAAAAACCGATTGTCAAAATCTAAAAAATGTACTAATTCTTAATTTCTATAGGTCTATTCTATGTTTGGGGTATCCTATTTATATTAATAACTACATTGATTGCAATTTTTAAAAAAGAAAAAGATAACAGATTAGAGGACGACCATGTAAAGCTCAACATTGTTCAAAACTATTCATTACTATGGGACATTTTAAAACTACCTAGTATTCAATTGTTGGTGATAGCAATGCTGACCTCGAAGGTAAATATATAGATTCCTAATCAAAGCGATATTATTTGCATAAATTTATTAATTTGACTTCTTCACTAAAACCGTTAAACTATGGATTTAAAAATATTCCACTCACGATTGTTCTATTGTTAATTATAACTCTTTTTATTATGTATAGATTTTTATTATCTATGGATGATTTGAGGTTGCTCACCTCCATTTTTTCATTGAATACGCTTTATTAGTGTGACGTCATCCAAGGAGATTATAGATAAGCCGGATCCAAACAAATCGAAGTCCCTATATCTAATACATGGGTCTATAACTAAACATTTTTTTTTAAATAAAACTATTTTGATTTAGTTATGTATCTTAGTCAAAAACGTTAAATTAGGTCATTATAAAAAATCTAAAATATTGGATTCTCTAAAATATGTACAGAAATTTAAATAAATCAGAAAAACAAATTTGGCGGGAAATATTATACATACATCCCTGTTATAATTTAACCTAACCTTGTTATAATTATAATATTATAGTATTATTATAATATTATAGCCGGACAAAAAGTTTGAGCACATTAAATGAAATTAGGCAATTATTTGTTGCACCTTTACATAGTATTATTAGTGATTACTATTTTAAATAAAATTGACCATTAGTCATGCTGTGTTGGGCATTTAATTGTACTCATAATAACCAAAAACACAAATGTAGTTTCTTTAAATTTCCTGTTGAAACTAAAGAGAGGCGTAGATGGATTAAATTAGTGAAGTATAAAACTTTATTTTATATTTTATAAAATTCTTGTTAACATTTATATTTTATAACAAAGTAGTAAAGTAGTAAATTTTCAGTAGTTTCAAGTAGGTATATAAGTATTAGGTATATAAACAACAAAATTATTTGTGTACAGAAGAGATGTTGAACCTGGACCTGGTGCTAGAATCTGTGGTTGTCATTTCAGAAATGGAGACAAAAAAAATGGTCCTGAAATATTAGATCATAGGAAAAATGCATTTTCTAATTTTCAATCACCAGAAAAAAGAAAAAGAACCAAAATTGCTTGCCATTCTGATGACAATGGACCTAGCACTAGCACTAGCACTTGTAGCACAATTACCCAAACACCATTGTGGTGTACCGAGTACTAATAATTAACACATTACATTAGATTAATTAATTATTCACTTTATTAGACATAGTTGTTTCAATACACATTACAATACTCAGCAAGAGAGTATATCATAAAAACATAACCTTAAAACTAATTATCATGGAATACTACATACATTACAGTCCTCCCGACTTACATAAGAATTACATTTCATATAAAATTATTGAATATAATATAATATTAATTGTATAATAATAAAAAAAATAATATAAGTAATAATATAAGTAATATTGTACATATTAATTATTAAATAATTTGAACATTATAATTAAATAATAATAATAATAAATTAACATTCAATAGTCTATAAATCTAAACGAACAGGAGGTTTAATAACCCTACGGCTTTTCCTCAATTCCACCCCCTCAACTTTATCCTCTGTTTCCAATTCTACTTCTTTTTCTGCCTCTTTAACACTTTCACTTATAACTATTTGTTCTTTAATATTACCCTTATTATTATCAGCATTTTGTAATTCTTCTAATAAATCTCCATTAATTTCTACTTCTGTTCCATTTTTATTCATACAATCAATTATTTGGTTTAAATGTCGCTTATAAATGTTACCCTTAATAATTTTAATTAAGTATGTAACAGGTGATAATTGTTGTATAATTTTTCCCTGTATCCACTTATTCCCTTCTCCATAATTCCTACACATAACCTCATCTCCAATTTCGTACGATTTTGTTCTACCACCCTTATAATTTTCCTTGGCTCTTTCTAAGCTTTTTGTATAATTATATTTTGCCTTGACTATTAACCTATCCAATGCTATATTCAACTGTCTACCAATGTGTAACTCTGCAGGACTCACCCCAGTTGAACAATGATTTGTACTATTGTATGCTAGAATAAATTTACTTATGTTGTCTTCTATATCTGAATTTTTTGCACACTTTTTAAGAAACATTTTAAAGGTTTTGACTGCATTTTCTGCAGCTCCATTAGTCGAAGGACTATATGGTGGAGTCTTAATATGTGTAACACCATTAATTTTTAAAAACTCTTCCATTTCATAAGAACATAAAGAAGGTCCGTTGTCAGTGACTAATTTTTTTGGAATTCCCCAAATAGAAAAATATTCCCTTAACACTTTGATAGTTGATACTGTAGTAATATTAAGTAAATGTTTAACATATAACCACTTTGAAAAAGCATCAATTATCACTATGAACATTTTACCATCTACAGGTCCCAGAAAATCTAAATGTATACGTTGTGATGGTCCTTCTGGCCAGGGCCAACTATGTAATACACTTTTAGGTGGATTATTACTATTAGCTAAACAAGCAACACAACTTTTTGTGATGTTCTGTATGTCATAATCAATACCAGGCCACCAGATATATGACCTAGCCACAGACTTCATCTTAACCGTGCCCATATGCGTATGATGTAACTCATTTAATAATTCCTTTTGGAATTTACCAGGTACTACTATTCTATGTCCCCATAACAAACACCCTACTTCAATGGTTAATTCATTTTTTCGATTAAAATAAGGCTTTAATTCATCCTTTACTTTTTTGATCTTATCTGGCCATTTATTAGATAATACCCTAAAATAAACTTCACGTAGCACTTTATCTTCCTTAATTTCTGTACAAATATCTAAATCAGTAATTGATTTTATATTTGTCATTATTAAATTAATAAAAAAATTATCACTCTCAGCATCATTAATGTTATCCGAATCTTTGATAGGTAATCTAGATAAGGCATCAGCATTACCATTATTCACCCCATTAATAAATTCAATTTTATATGAGTACCCTGATAAAAACACTGCATATCTCTGAAGCCTATGTGCAGCCATAACTGGTATCCCTTTATTTTCTCCAAAAATACTCACTAACGGTTTATGATCAGTTCTTAAAATGAATTGCCGCCCAAAAAACATATTGGTGGAAATACCTAACAGCAAAAACTATAGCCAAAGCTTCTTTATCGATTTGTGCATACTTCTTTTCACAATCTGTTAATGTACGAGACGCAAAGGCAATAGGTTTTTCCGATCCATCAGGTAATCTATGCGACAAAACCGCACCAATGCCAATTGGGCTAGCGTCGCTTGCAACTATTAACTCCCAACTACTATTATAATGTACAAGTATATTCTCAGATACTATTGATTCTTTGATTTTATTGAAAGCTAATTTTTGTTCCACCCCCCAATGGAATTTAACATTATTTTTTAGTAATGCATACAAAGCACCTGCTTTAAAAGACATATTTTTAATAAATTTGCCATAATAATTTACTAATCCCAAAAAAGCTTTAACTTCCTGAACGTTTTTAGGGATTGGGGCTTCTGTAATAGCTTTGATTCTCTCTTTAGGTATGTGCAGTCCTTCCTTATCAATATGATAACCAAGAAATGTAACATTATCACTGAAAAACTTACATTTACCTTTTTTAAGAGTTAAGCCAGCATCATTCAACTTTTTCAAAACACTATCAAGTCTATTATTTACTTCTGTGTAATCTTTACCTGATACTACTACATCATCATAAAAACAAACTGTACCTGGTATATTACAAAGTAACTTTTCCATTTCCCTTTGCAGCATACCCGGTGCAGATGAAATTCCATATGGTAATCTTTTGAACATGTATAACCCTTTATGAGTAGAAATTGTGGTTAACTTTTGACTTTCTTCGTCAAGTAACAACTGTTGATATGCTTGGCATAAATCTAATGTACAAAATACAATTGCTCCCTGGAATGCACTTATTAAGTCTACTACTCTAGGTATCGGATATCTATCAACTTCCAGATATTTATTTAAAGTAACCTTATAATCCCCACACAACCTTATAGATTTATCAGGTTTAACTACTGGAACTATAGGAGTAGCCCAATCACTTGATTCCACAGGAACTAACAGCTCTGCTTTAATTAGTCTTTCCAATTCTTTACTCACACTATCCTTAAGAGAAAAAGGTATAACTCTAGGTTTACAAAACACAGGAATAGTGTTTTCTTTTAAATACAATTTAAAAGTTTTATGTTTAAAACATCCTAATTCCTCATTAAAAACAGAAGGATACTTTTGTATAATATCTTGTTGAGATAAGGAATGAAAATTTAATTTTAATGGTAATATCTCTAACTCGATCAACCAATGTCTGCCAATAATCGGTGGTCCTCCATCCATTACAATATACAAACTTAATGACTTCCACTGATTTTTGTACTTAACCTTGACCTTTAAAATTCCTATTGGTATAATTATTGAATCATTATATGCTTTTAAATTAACATCAGTTCTCTCCAAATCCTCCACACAACCCAATTTAAATTTATCAAAATCTTTCACAGACATAACCGATACCGCTGAACCCGTATCTACTTGAAACTCTATGGTTACATTATCTACTAATAGTTTAAGACAAAAAGGTTGCACAAAACTTACATTTCTAGTTTCTAAATTAAACAAACTATTCAAATTCAAATCTACATTATCAAGGTCAACATTATTAACATTTTTTTCTTTATTCTTACAGACATTCTTTAAATGACCGACCTTGTTACAAATTGAACACTTATAACTAATATACTTACATGATGGTTTAGTATGTCCACTCTTCCCACAGCAATAGCATACCCAATTTCTTTTTGTACCTTTCATGTTTGATTCTCCACCAGTTTTGCCACTATTATTCGATGATGATTGCTTGACTTTGGTCAGGAACTTGGTATTTTTCTTCTTTGAAGCTGTATGGTAGTTTACTGCTTCATGATGTTCCATCTTTGAAATGTCATTGTTAGCACTCTCCATAGCCAAACTCAGTTCAATGCATTTTTTGAAAGTTAAAGAGTCTTCGGATAATAGTCTTTTCTTTATATTACTATCTCTGATTCCCCAAATAACTTGGTCTCTCAATGCATCATCCAACACAGTTCCAAATTCACAATGTTCAGACATTTTTTTAAGGCCCGTAATAAACTGAATAATGGTTTCATTTGCAGCCTGTCTGCGTTCTTTAAACTTGTACCTTTCAGTAATTAAATTCGGTTTCGGATTTATGTAATCTGTAAGCAACTTTTTGAGATCATCATATTTCTTTTCAATGGGTTTACTAGGTGTACATAAATCTCTCAGTAATGCATACCCATCGTTACCCAACAATGTTAAGAATAATAATTGTTTTTTATGCAAATTAATTTCATTAAGCATCACATACAATTCAAATCTCTCAATCCAAGAATTAAAATCATCTTCTTTGAGCTTAAATTCTGTCAATTGACCCATTTGTTGCCCTGTGCAAACACGTGGACTGACCTGATTCGAAGCGTTTCCGTCCATTATAAAGTAATTAACACTACACGGAAATACGGAATTACTTACATACGTACTCGAATTATCTTCGTCGCCAATGTGGTGTACCGAGTACTAATAATTAACACATTACATTAGATTAATTAATTATTCACTTTATTAGACATAGTTGTTTCAATACACATTACAATACTCAGCAAGAGAGTATATCATAAAAACATAACCTTAAAACTAATTATCATGGAATACTACATACATTACAACCATCATCAGAAATTGTTGAATTAAACATACTTGATTTAAAGAATCAACTCCTCCAGTTAGTAACTATTATGTTTATGTATAAATACAAATACTAAATATAATATTATATTATAAGACCATTTATTAAATTAATTAGCAAAATTGTATATTACCTATACAATATACATATTTTATCAAGTTATAATCCTTTGAAATACCTATATTTAAATTTTAAATAAATATCAAAATATCAAATACCTAATATAAATTAATATTTCAAACACTAATGATTGGAATCAAAGCAAAATTGTTTATTTTTTTGGACTGGTCTAATAAAATATTATATCTATAATGTATGATACCCATTACTATGCATAAATAAATGTTTTGTGTTTAACAAGTTAAATACTTACTATTTGTAGGTCTAGTCAAACCAACAAATGCTTAGAAGCTGAAATTTTGTTGCTAAGAAAAGAAAATGAACAGTTAAAATTAAAAATGTCCTCAATTTCTGAGTGCTTATCTTATGAACTGATTTCAAGTAATGATGAATTAATTAAGTTATATACTGGGTTACCCAATTCTAAAATCTTTGATTTACTGATGGTAATATGTGAAAATATTGAGATAAATTATTATTTAAAATGGAAAGTTGAAAATATTTCTATGCATGATCAATTGTTGATTACCTTAATGAAACTAAGACTTAATTTGCCACATGTAGATCTTGGCCAACGATTTAAATGTAGTCAGGCAACCATAACAAACATTTTTATGACTTGGATCCATATTCTGTATGAAAACATTTTCTTAGTATTTATGTCTAAAATTCCATCAAAAAATAAAAATAAGCTATGTCTACCAAATTCCTTCAGCACATTTACTAACTGTAGAATTATTCTTGATTGTACAGAAATTAAAACTGATACTACTAGAGTGTCTATGGTTACACAAAAAGCCACTTTTAGTAGCTATAAACACTATCATACATTGAAAACCTTAATTGGTGTGGCACCAAATGGTGTTGTTACATTTGTAAGCGATTTTTTTCCAGGTTCCACTTCAGATAAAACAATAACACTGAAAAGTGGTGTTTTATCTCAATTGGAACCAGGTGATTTAATACTCGCAGACAAGGGATTTTTAATTCGTGATATTTTACCTCCAAATGTATACTTGAATATACCTCCATTTCTGGACACTCCACAGTTCACACCAGAACAAGTTTTACTTACCGAAACTATTGCTAAAGCTAGAATCCATGTAGAGAGAGCTATTCAAAGAATAAAATGTTACAGAATTTTAGATCATATACCTACATCTCTGTTATCCCAAGCTGACTATGTTTTTAAAGTTGTAGCATCGCTCACTAATTTTCAGTATCCACTAATTAAAGAAATACAAAATAAAATGTAAATTTATTTTTTTAATAATTAAAAGTATTAACTGAAGGAACTATTTAATGTATAAAATTAGGTATTTGTAAAAAATATTTTGAATAAAGCTATATTATTTTATTTGATATAATGTATGGAATATATTGTTCAAAGTAAAACTTTTGAAGTATTTCAATATTGTTTTGCCATTGGTTATCTTTAAATATATGAACTATGATTGATTCTCTTGGTGTCCAAACTACAAAAATACATTTTTGTCTTCTGGTAAAGTATAGTTGTGCTTGAACTTGGTGCCAGTAATTATGTTTCTGGTTTACATGAATTTGATTATGTTCTTTATAAATTATGTAAGTTTTGTCTTTACTTATTTCTTCTGATAGCAAACTATTTCTGAATTTATAGGGGCATTTTACCTCAACTACACAATTTTCTCCTATAAGTCCATCTGGGGATGCACCAAGATATCCACATTTATGTAACCATAATCCAGTTTTTTGAATCAACACATTTTCAGTTTTCTGGAGAAAACTTAATGCTGCATCTTCATTATTAAGCCCCCACTCAATAGCATGCACACCAGTAGTGATATATTCATTGTTCAGTGATTTAAACAGTGATGGATTATATTTTTTCTTATGGCATGCTGCAAGTATATTTCCATACATGCTTGAAGTAAGTCTGTGCTTTTTATATGTAATCCATTTAATGTTTTTGGACTGACCAATTGTTTCTTGTGCTACTTCTAAAATAATTTCATCAGACACACTTAATTTATTTTCTAGAAGCTGTGTTTTTGTTGTTGATGATTTATACTCATCTGATATAATTATATCATTAATTAATACAACTGGTGATTGTTGAAATAACACTTCAACATTGGGTTCAGGTTTTAATAGCCAGGACATACCTATTGGTGTACCTAACTGTTCTAAAGCTTTTTTAAAGTTATTTTGGTTTTTGTTTGGTAAAGAAATTGTAGCTTTATATGAACAAGCAGGATATAAATCACTAATAGTTTTAGTATTTTCAAGATTACTATTTCTCACATTCCAAGAGCAAATACTATCTGTAGAACTACAATTATGATGAGCAAACAAACATAAAGCTGCCATATGATGACAAATCACCAATCCTCTAGGACATGTACACGTACTGTCACATATAACTCCATCATTGAGAAATATCTATGAGAGAATGTTTTCTATGATTAAAATTTAGAAGTTCTATAATAATAATTAGGGCTAGGGACTTCATGCCCTAAAAAACCTTAAAATATGCATGCATTTATGCCCTAAAGATTCACTTGATATGCTATTAAAATATGCATTTAAAAAAAAGTAATATTTGTAGTAAATAATAATACTATTTGTGGATACGATACATAAATAGATAAATTTGATTAATTATCTGAGATAATTATTTTCATATTTTCAGCTTGTTTAAATGTAATACAAACATTATAAAATTTTTTTAAAAAACAACAAGTTGAATATATTTGTATATTTTTAAAATACCTAGTACTTATTACTTTGAGTATTACATTGAACTATTAGATATTTTCTTAAGTTGGGAATTAAAAACTTATTCACATAAATAATTGTCAAATATGCTATTATAAAATAAAAAATGGTCAAATATGTAAAATATGCAACTATAAATTTTAAATTTAAACTTGTATTGCCATGAAACATATGTCTGTATTACTTAGCTATGATTTTAATGATTAGTTAAAAACATGCACTCCTAGAAGTCCTGAGCCCTAATAATAATTAATACAATATATTGCATACTTTCACTTTATACTGGATTGATTTCATACTTGCTTTTACTTCACCTTGTATCAATCCATTGGCTGAGTCGTATACTATTTTACAAATGTATCCAGCGTTAAATGAAAGTTCTCCCTTTTTTAGTTGTTTGGGATTTGATTTAAAATAATCAAATATCGCAAACATACTAATAGCACTATTTGCAGACATTATGGTGAATAAAAAAAATAAATAATTGCTAAAAAAAAAAATAGAATATTTTTTAAAACTCCCAACTATTTATTTATCATATTTAAAAAAATAATCAACAATAAATCAGGCAAATAAGAACAAAGAGTAAAATAAAAAAGGATATTATTTTTATTATTATTATTGCTGTACAAAGATTTTGGCGCCAAAATTAATTTTTAAATTTATTTAAATTCTGTCTCCTTATTTAAACTTTAAATGTATTATTACAAATATTTGTATCATAATGTATCTAAATATATCAAAAAATCATGTTAAATATAAGTACATTTAATAAAAATAAATAGCTAAAAAATTTTTCCGTGCATTTAGCATAGGGACAATACTATGTTTGGATCCGGCATATGTAGAAACTCCCTGATAAAACGTTATCACTAATAAAGCGTATTGCATTCATTTTAGAATTTTAAGTGTACTATTATGTCTTTTGGATTATTTTTTGTTCTACTTAAGGAGTACCCAGTGCCTTGTGGTGGTACAAACTTCTAGTTTTCAAATGAGAAACCCACTATTTTACAGACAATTATTTAGCTGATAATTTACTTGAAAATATTGATGTTTAAAAATCAAAGTTCTAATGAATAGTTTCAGAGTTATTAAAATGTTTATACAATGGATATAATGATCTTTAAAAATGGTTTTACTAAAATTTAAACCATATTATGTAATATCAGATATAGTATTTATTATACTCGGATAATTATCAAAAATAGTTTATAATTTATATTGATACATAATTAATATTAATTACTAAAATTTTCGAATCAAAGGGGCTTACTCTTTCTCTATTCAACTCATCACCATAAACATATTATTAACCTTAGTATGTACATTGTACCTACACAAAATTATATATTTAATAAATTATTCATTTAAATTTTGATTAGGCTACATCAAAATTGTCGAAGAAAATATCTGTATTACAAATTGTATATAAGTGATAATAATATAAATAATTATTAAGATAATTTAAATAAAAAAAGTGCCTCTAACGATAAAATATTTATACAAAAAGTTTATGCTTACCGTGATTCTGGAATTGTGTGTTCTTTTACAGAAATCTTTGTGATCAGTACTCAGAAGTAATCTGGTTTTCTATTTTAGTTGTTTGTCCGTTGTTTTTTGTTAATTAAATTACAATAGTTACGAATTATAAATTATAAGTTACCTATATATAACAACAAAAAATGGGTATAAATCTAAAACTCGACTACCGTGACAAAAATTGTAAAACAATATTCTCAACACTGAACAGAACCCATTAACATTATGGCTTATACTTATTATAATAGTATATATACCGTATAAGGTCTATGAATAAAACCCCTTATAAGTTAAACATAGGCAAATTATATTATTAGTCAATGTGATATGACCATAATATACAATTTGATAATTAGTATTACATTATAAAAGAAAAAGGTTTCAACAATATTAGAATAAAATATATTTAAATTATAAAATATGTAAGGACGTAAGATGGGAATGGTAATTTGATAAAAATCTAAGTAGCTATAGGCGTGTCACGTATTTGCATTTTGCAAGTATTAGAAGATTCTTATATCATGTAAAGAGTTTTTAATTATACAAATAAAAAATACGTTGTAAAACTGTATACTGAATGCTTTTTTTGCTGCGTCACTATAAAAATTTAAATCAATTTATTTTATGAAATATTAAAATGATAAAATAACAATATTTCATGTTTGGGAACCAAAAATTAAACAGTATTTAATAGTAATTTATAAAAAACTAGCCGATCCCGTGCACTTCGTTGCTCGTTAAATACACCAACTCTATATGACTCAAACTTTGTTCAATTCGTTATTTAATATTCGGTGTATGGTGTTCAAAATGTATCTTAACTTTTCCGTTGCCCGGAATAAAAATTCTGATTTGCAGCAGTATATTAACAGGTAGGCAATCTACCTGCTGTAGATCGCGGACCCCGTGCTGTTTGTACGTAAGTGTATGATTTAACGATAAAGTATCTAAGTTATACCAAGTTTGTCGTATTCCATCTATGGTGGATTAATATAATCAATAAATACAAAATCCTAACCTAACCACACTAATATCAGATGAATAAAAAAAACCAAATTTAACCATTTTTAAATTAGCCTGTCTTCTTCCCAGAGGTCTAATATACACACAGACATTCATTAAAAAAAATAATCATAATACAAATCAACAAACATATCCAATTAACCAATAGCAACCAATATATAATACACTGTTGCGCCGCTGTTGTATTTTTTACATCCAGATTTCCCACTTTTCCGGTGAATTTTCCTATAATTTTCTTTCGTAAAAACCTTCTCCTGGCAATTACGAACTTTTAAAAAAAAATTTGAGCCAAATCGAACCAGCCGTTCTCTGTTAGGTTAGGTATCGTTGATGAGGTATAACTATAGACTATAGTTATACATTTTCACTCTCCATTTTTATATATCATTTATATATTGGTTACCATGGGTGTAAATAAGTGTTTGAAACATAAGTAATTTGTTTCTGTCCGTCACAGTTATAAGTACCTATTTGTTAAAACGAACTTTAAGGATCATTTATAATTCATTATAAAAGTCCCAACGTTCTTTTCGTATAATAGATCAACTTAACCCGCGTATCAGATCAATATGACGTCAAATATTGCAGCACTGAAGATCCATTCCGTGACTGATAAATATTTCGTGGTTTTCGACATGCTCCTGGCAAATCTAGCACAAACTTTGGAATCTCAAGATGACAAGAGTACACAGGCGCACAGGCGACGTCTATTTTGGCTGTGCAGAAGAACGCCTCAGGTGATTCACCCGAAATCTGGTGCCCGTCTGCGACCAAAATTATGCCGCGATTTCAGTAGTTCAGTTCCAACAACCAATACCTACCGTGGTTGAATTTGCTTAAACTTTTTTAATCAAAAGTACCTACCTATATTTATTGATGTGAAAATCGTTTTGCATGACAGTGTAAATTTTCGAGCGTTACCTTTTTCGTAGGTACCGAGCAAATTTTCTATGGAGTTAATATTTTCGGACTTTTAATTTTTTTTTTCAAAATTTTTCGAAAAACACCAAAAATTCTTTTGCCACTAACAGACTAATTATGACGTCAGACTGGGCGTCAACCTTGGGGGTAGGTCAAGATCGGAATTCCTGCCGAGCGAATTTTCTATGGAGGTAATATTTTCAGACTTGTGATTTTTTTCCATATTTTTCGAAAACCACCGAAAATTCTTTTGCCACTAACAGAGTAATTCGGACGTCAGTCTGGGCGTCAACATTGGGGGTAGGTCGAAATTGGAATTCATACCGAGCGAATTTTCTATGGAGGTGATATTTTCAGACTTGTGATTTATTTCCAAATTTTTCCTTCAAATTCTAAACTCATTGCATATAATATATGTTTTCACATCTTATGAGGGTCGCTTGAGACACACGCGTTTTTTTTTTTTTTACTATTTTACGTCTTGAAACTTGTAACTTACTGTATAGCAGAGCAACACCCACTTATCCACATTTTTTAATTATAAATATGCTTACAATTTTTTTTGTATTATACAGTCATATATTTTTTGTTTAAATTATTTTTAATAACGTTTGATGTGCTTATAATATAATATTAATAATTTATACAACAAAATACAAAAAAATTCATAATAATTATTTATGAAAACATAGATTATCCAATGTAGTATTATTTATTTATTGAATGCACTTTTAAATTTGGAATTATCGTCATCAACTTCGTTTAAGATTTCAATGATAGTGTGTAAGCCAACTCGTACAAGTGACGTATAGTGGATTTTAGGATAAATTGAGGTGTAAATAAATGCGTGGACTTTATTTGAATTATTGTAAATTTATGAAATTTATTAACACGTTAAACACTTATGTCCGTAAAATAGTTCGGAACGGGAGTATTCGATTTCTTTCAGATATTTTCTAAGTCCAAATTATTACTTTTCGAAAATATTCTAAGTATAAAATATAATTTTACTATACTAATTGGCTTGAAGGTGCTTGTCCTGGCTTGACAGATCACGTCTAAATACTGGCTGTTTCAGGGTTCACCATATAGTCCTGGGACCCAATTATTGAAATCGTGATAAACTTTGTCGTATTCGATAAAATTTTTATCACATGAAAATAAATATTTGGTATTCCTGAATTGTGGTATGACTTTAGTCGAACGAAAAACATTCGACTATTTGTTGACTGATAAAACGTCGGTGACAAAGTTTAGTCGCATGATTATCGCATACTTGATCATACATTTAAGAAATAGAGTTTTTAGATACGAGAAATTTACACATAACAATGTGATATCAATTTTTGAAATTGTTAAGTTGATAATTGATATTTAATCTTTTTTCTATGATTGATATTGTTTTGAATTGTAATATTTTTGTACATTAAACTTTTACTGTCCACCAGCCTATCGATAAGACTATCTTCTTTCCACGGATGCGGTGTCCATAAAATCTTTGGGAAATGATTATGGTCCACATTCATCCTGTCTAAATGCATTTTGACTGTTTATTGCGCCGTATTTATTGTAAATATAAATTACATAGTCATATACGAAGTGCACGTGATCATTATTTGTTACCGGGCAACGAAGTGCGCGGGATAATTTGGTACAGAGATAGATGGGCAGAAGATAGACTAATTTATAAAGGGCGAGGATAATAACCTAACCCTGAGAGGTGCTCAAACAGGGATTTTGAGATTTCTGATGGACATTTTTGTTTATAAATGGTTGCCATGGGTTTTTAAGGTATTATAATAATAATTATTGGTTGGCTGCAACAAAGAGCACGGGATCAGCTAGTTAAGTTAAATATATATATTACAGTCATATATCATATAGGTAAATAATTTTTTATATAATATAGTATTATGTTATGTGTAATGTGTATAATATACTATATCACTATAATGTGTAAATGTATATAATATCATACAGTGGCGGCTATCAAACAAAATAAAGGTGCATCAAATTTTGAATTTAGTTACCCACCCACCAACTCTGGTATACAATGGTATACAATTTAGTGCCTAACCAATAATTTACCACCCACCCACCCAATTATAAGGTGTATCGACGGATACACCTTGAGTATAGGATAGCCGCCACTGCCGCGATGTATATCGACGCTTAATTAAGCTGTGCGATGTAACTCTGCAAAATATGTGTCCGATGTCGATGAGATACCTTCCATCTCATCCATGGTTTGATTGCAAGTTTCAACGCCGTATACCAAGTTGTCAATATCGACCACCCCTGTCACTAAAAAAGTTATCGAAATCGAAGCGCCGCCGTCAAACGTCTTTGCCACATGTTCAGCCGGTAGACGCCGACCCGCTGCAATCAGGTCCTCAGAATGACATGTCAGAATCACAGTGTCACGGTGATGAATCTAAAAACAGTTTAACGAAACCGTCGGTCCAGCAGGATAATAGAATACAGGATAATATGGTGGTAACCCCCGGTGGCTGTAGTGATGCAGTTATTGCAGTTCCAAACCCTAAGGTAACAGTGGCAATGCCCAAACGCCGCTCTCTGTGGTGCCGGACGAAAAAGTTCGTCCGGCGAATGCTTTGTTGCGGTGCTAAATAGGCTGCATAGACCGCAATATGTATAATATTTGGTGGTCGTCTTTTCCTATAATTTATTTAATAATATGTGTGAAAATAATAAATATGTAAAATAATATACAGTGTGTTAAGTGTTTCCTTTTAAAGGTAACACTAAATAATTCTGTCCAGTGACATCGGATTAATATGCGGTTTTCAGGAGGGGATAGGGAATACATAAATACACATTTCTTAATGATTTTTACATTTTTAGATCTTTCCGTGTACGCATGCGCAATACAACTTGCATTGTTTTAAATGGCAACAGGTGTTTTGAATACCAAATTCGGATAGACCGAATTTTTTTAAGTCGATTTGGTCCTTTTTACCATAGCTCTAAAATCAAAATTGACTAAATGGAAACCAGTAAAAGTTTCGATTAAAATTATTGAATTTTTCACCAATCATACTAGAATTTTATGAACTATTATGAAATTTTATTTATTATTAATTGAATATTGAACTAACATTTACGTCTAATTGAGGTTAATTAATTCCTCAAAATTAAATTTAAATTAATAATATTATTATTAATTATTATTATTATTTATTATTAATTTTGAGGAATTAATTAACCTCAATTAGACGTAAATGTTAGTTCAATTAATAATAAATAAAATTTCATAATAGTTCATAAAATTCTAGTATGATTGGTGAAAGATTCAATAATTTTAATCGAAACTTTTACTGGTTTCCATTTAGTCAATTTTGATTTTAGAGCTATGGTAAAAAGGACCAAATCGACTTAAAAAAATTCGGTCTATCCGAATTTGGTATTCAAAACACCTGTTGCCATTTAAAACAATGCAAGTTGTATTGCGCATGCGTACACGGAAAGATCTAAAAATGTAAAAATCATTAAGAAATGTGTATTTATGTATTCCCTATCCCCTCCTGAAAACCGCATATTAATCCGATGTCACTTGACAGAATTATTTAGTGTTACCTTTAAAAGGAAATACACTGTATTGTGTAAAAAAAAATATTTCGTAGTCTCATTTTTCTTAAATTAATAATACATTATATAGAGGGATCACGATAATAGGTACCACTGAATATCTCAGATGGGTGTCTGTGTATTGAAATGGGATTTTCGGGAGGTGATAGGGAGCACTTGAATACATATTTTCAGACCAGTTTCAAATGTTTAGCTCACTCGGTACGCTCATGCGCAATACGACTTACTTTTTTTTAAATGGCATCCCCAGTTTTTTTCTGCAGATTCGGGTAGAGTATTTTTTTTTAAGTATTTATTGTCTAAAAAGTTTTTTTCTATTTTCAAAACTGACCAAGTTAGAGTAAGTCAAAAATTGGATTTATGCATAATATGTGCTTAATACAATTTTCATTTATATCCACTGAAAATAATAGAATAAGTGCCAATAAATATTTAATGGTGGACGGAGTGACCGAACGGACTAAGGCGTCGGATGCGACGCGCACCGTTGCTGGTTTCGAACTCGGCCACGGCCCATGGGCGACATTTTTCTTTTTGAAGTCACAGTGACGGGAGAGAGAGAGGCCGTCATCACCCACCTGGGCATGGCAGATACCTACGGGTTCCCACTTAAAAATTCTGCCAAAACAAACACACACGTAGGCATCTGCCATGCCCAGGTGGGGGATGTCGCCATGTCGGCCTCTCTCTCCGGACACCGTGACTGCCAGAAGAAAAATGCCACCCATGGCCAAGTTCGAACCGGCGACGGTGTGCATCTCAACCGACGCCTTAGTCCGTTCGGTCACTCCGTCCACCATTAAATATTTATTTGGCACTTATTCTATTATCTTCAGTGGATATAAATGAAAATTGTATTAAACACATATTATGCATAAATCCAATTTTTGACTTATTCTAACTTTGTCAGTTTTGAAAATAGAAAAAAACTTTTTATACAATAAATGTTTAAAAAAAAATACTGCAGAAAAAACTGGGGATGCCATTTAAAAAAAAGTAAGTTGTATTGCGCATGAGCGTTACGAGTGAGCTAAAAATTTGAAACTGGTCTGAAAATATGTATTCAAGTGCTCCCTATCACCTCCCGAAAATCCCATTTCAATACACAGACACCCATCTGAGATGTTCAGTGGTACCTAATATCGTGATCACACTGTATTATACATATTATATGTAATAATATGTGTGAAAATAATAAATGTGTATGATAAATATTATGTAAAACAATATGTAAAAGAATATGTGTAAAAAATAATATTTGGTAATTAATATCATATTATTTTTAATAATGAAATTGTATAATATGATATATTAATGAACTGCCTGTACATTTTTTGTCTATAAATTTTGTATACTTAATATATTGTATGTAAAAATAATGTACCTAAAAATTATAAAATGTAATGTATTATGTAATAAAAGAAATACCTACTTAATAACTGTTGTTAAAAACTTGTTTTTTATTCTGTAACTCAGTTTGTATTATTATGTTTTCGTATTGTCCAGTACTATCTTATTTATTATTTAATAAACATTTAATTTCTATAATTTATTTTATTAGGCTGTATTTATTTACTTTGGATTTAAATATTATATTCATAATTAATGAAAGAAGCACCTGCATGATTCTAACAAAAAAAAAAATATTATTAATTTTAACACATTTTTCATCAATTTTAAGATAGGTATAAATAAAATGCCTTTAAATTATGACAATATATTTTGATAACTCATTTAAAGAAAAATTATTCATAAAATGTATGAGGAATTTATTAGATATAAAAAATAATACTCCTTTAGCTTAATTAGTAAATAACTTAAAAACAAAGAAAACACTAGGATTACGATAAATTTCAACAAAACTACCATAACCAATAACCATGATTGTAACAAACAAACACGGACAGGACCAACGCGACACTGATCATTTTTGGTCCAGATTACCATCGATATACCGTGTGTTCACCAATTTAGGGAACACTGAATTTCTCGGCTGGATTATGTTGGAATAAATCGAATTTTTTTTACAAGCTTGTGGTATATAAATACACATTTTCAGATAAATTTCAAATTTTTAAACCCTTCGGTACGCGCATGCGCAATGCAACCTACTTTTTTTTTTAATAGCAACAGGTAGTTTTGATACCAAATTCGGATAGACTGGATTTTTTTAAGTCATTTTGACCAGTTGACCATGGCTCTAAAACCAAAATTGACTGAATGAGAGCCATTCAAATTTCAATAAATAATACATTTTTACAATTCACTATAAAATGCATAAAACCATTTATAATTATTTTTTATTGGTTACTTTTTGAATATCTTTACGTATTTTTTTTTTGGTTTGGCACTTATGGACCCATTGAATGGCCAGCAAAATCTCCAGATATTACACCACTTGATTTTTTTTATGGGGACATTTGAAAACAGTAGTCTACGCAGATCCACCAGTTAACCTAGCAGATTTAAAAAATAAAATCTTGGTTGCGTGTAATAACCTTACTGAAAGTCAAATAGTGTCAGCAACTAATAGAGGATGTCTACAACGTTTTCAATTATGTGTCGACAATCACGGAGCTAACTTTGAACAATTTATTTAATTAATTGTGTAGTTATAAAATAACTGTTGTAAATTGTAATCAATTTTGTTTAAATAATTTTATATCCATATTATGTTAATCTTATTTATAACACGTATAAAAAAAAAAATACGTAAAGATGAATATAGTAAAATATATATAATATATAAATAATATATATATATATATATATATATATAATATATATATTAAGTAACCAATAATAAATAATTATAAATGGTTTTATGCATTTTATAGTGAATTTTATAGTGAATTTTGGTTTTAGAGCCATGGTCAACTGGTCAAAATGACTTAAAAAAATCCAGTCTATCCGAATTTGGTATCAAAACTACCTGTTGCTATTAAAAAAAAAAGTAGGTTGCATTGCGCATGCGCGTACCGAAGGGTTTAAAAATTTGAAATTTATCTGAAAATGTGTATTTATATACCACAAGCTTGTAAAAAAAATTCGATTTATTCCAACATAATCCAGCCGAGAAATTCAGTGTTTCCTAAATTGGTGAACACACGGTATATATATAAATGTAAGTATGTTACTGCTACTTTCCGGTTGTCTTCGGAAGAACCCAATCAATGGACAACAGTTTGGGTTGTTGGAAAACTAAATACAACCACGATCCACACGATGTTATATAAGGTAACTCTATAATAACTACCTACACACATAAAATTAATTGAAATTACAGTTAATACTATATTGTGTATTTGTGTGGTACGTTATAATATTTTGTATTAAATTCATACCCAATGTGCGCCTATTATGTATTTATGTGCGTACGGCGCTACCACGATTTAAGAGGATGTCATCGCACTATTTGTTTTCTCTCTCTGACCCACGCGCAACATAGACAAAACACATTTACGCAGAAACATTTTTTCTATGTTTTTTAAGTAATCTTAGAGTAAAATCACCCATTACAAAAAAGATAGAGAATAATATTTTTGAGGGAATGTCATATCGATTTGTCTAAATATTGTCTCAAAACAAATTTAAACATCATTTTAATGTACAACTTTTTTTGTTTATTTTTAAAGTCGAATACAAAGTCAAATAACAATAAAATATAAAATCGATATGACATTCCCTCAAAAATATTATTCTCTATCTTTTTTGAAATAGGTAATTTTACTCTAAGATTACTTAAAACATAGAAAAAATGATTCTGCGTTCATGCGTTTTGTCTATGCTGCGCGTGGGCCAGAGAGAGAAAACAAATAGTGCGCTGACATTAAAATTTAAAAAAGGGAGTTTCTACTTAAAAAACAAAGTTTGTATTGATCATCCTTAAGTGGTACAAAAAATCTCAAGTATTCGAAAATATGGTCTTCAAGTGTATTTAAAATGTCCAACAGTCAGAATTTGAATATACGCATAATTTAAGCATACAAACTGCAGGGTGAGCATTCTTAAAAATCAACCCGTATATAATATATTATCATACAAATTTATTTGAAGTCTTACATATTAAAATAATTACGTAGGTATTGAAACTTTTAAGTTGTGTTAGAATGATAGTTTAATACATTTTATGAAATCTATATGTAGTCAAATTTTAATTAATTATTTTAATTTATCCATCATTAACAACGTGTATTGTGTATATTATTAAAGATCGGATTTGCTGCAACAGACAATGTGGCGATTTTAAAACTCATTGATGCAGGAGTACCTAAAGACAACATTGTGTTTATAAAAACAACAATGTTTGTTGTAAAAATGATTTTGCCACTTGTTGTAGTGAAATACACGTCTGGTCCAAAACCGATGAACGTTTACTTAACAGCAACACCAATCAAGTAGATAAACCATAATACCTAAATAACTAGTAATTACCTAATTACATAGGTAGCAATAATTAATAAATAATAATAGCATTAGTAATATACTAATACTATGTAATAAACTACATACAAATATGCGATTAGATATTTAGATGTTATTATGTTAATATTAACTATTAAGTTCTAACCAACATTGTCACTCATTGGAGTCTTAGAAATAAAAATATAATAAAAACAAAAACATACAATTTTTGTTGCGTTTAGCAGTACCTAATATGGATTCGGAGAAAACAAAAGTATTGATTTTGTATAATGATGTGTATTTTTCGAAGAGAATTTTCAAATGGAAAGAAATATTGAAAAGTTTTGATATCTTCTTTCTTTCTGGCTTATATACTAGAAGATTTTGTAGATTCGATTATAGCTAGAAATTAAATACCTATTTAGAATTTCCAACAGTTTTTGAATCAGCTGTAAAAATGTAATTCTATATACTATAAAGAAATGTATGCAAAAACTGGTTTTCCACAACATCTTGAAGATTCTTTAAAATACTGTTTTTTTTAAATCATGATTTATTATTGATTTTAAGAAGTGGTCTATTTGTTTATTTTTTTTTTATTGAGCTTGAGCCCAGGGACTTGGGCCATTAGCTGTTGGTTATTTTTTTTTTGTTTGTTTGCAGGTGGTTAGTAGGGGGAGGAACAGTTGAAAACACGTTTTGTATGTGTGACAACTCTGACAAGGATTGTGGCTAAAAATCCCGGGTGATCTCTATCCGGGAAATAGCAATGTCGGCCGTTACGTTACGTTGAGTGTACGCACTGTGGCACACCAAGCCACATATTTATTTTTTGATTATTTTTATAAATTAGATTATTATCATTATTAACATATTAGTTTAATAGTTTTTACAATTTTTGTTGTCATATTCAATATGAATTATTTACATAGTTTTGAGTTTTTAGAACAATTCAATACTTTGTATGGAATACCGAATGATAAATATATTGGTTTCACAAGGGTGTAAGTTTTTCTAAAAATAAAACTATTGAGTCTACCATCTCGTTTTGAAGCAGAAGATTTTCTTCAATAACAACATTGAGGAGGACTTTGGTTGCAATTAAGTTTTCTTGAGTGGAATTAGGTGTGCAGTAGTAAAATTCGTGATTTTTAGGCACTGCAGTTTGTTATTATATAGTCGTCTTTATTTCCAGTCAAGAACTCAAAAAGGCTTCCAAATTGTATCTCGATTACATAATAAAGGCGTTACAAACTTCCAATGATAACTTTCTTTTTCACTATATTATTCAACAGATAATTTTGATTTATCTTAATGACTTAATCAAAATTCGTACGAGTAGTTTTATTTTAGATAAGAAGACATCAATGTGGACAAAAAAAGTCATGTATTCGAAAGTATGGTCTTTAAGTAGGTATACAGTGTATCTGTATACATATAGTTACATATTATAGTATAAAGTTTATTTTAAAATTTCAAAAATCGGATTTTGAATAACTGCATTATTAAAGAAAAAAAGGGCAGCGCTGTAATGGATGTGTTAAATTTGAATTCAATAATCATTGTATACGAAAAACGATTCTGTGCGAAGACGAGACCGTTTTACTGTCAGCATATAATATTACTAAGTAAAGTACTAAAGTGTATGATATTATTGTGGATCAAATAATTTATTATACTATTATAGTCCGTTGTACTACCTGTAAATAATAAATGTGTTTATATTTTTATATTTTTTGATTACAGTATGGACTATTTATACGAGAATCATTGTTTTTAATTTTCATTTTTTAGCTACAAAATAATTTGAAGATTTTCGAAATGTTGATAAAATATGTTGACAAAGTACTAACTAGATTTACTTTCCTACCAGAGAAGATGATGTTAAAAAAAATTTAAGTATTTTTATTGTCCCAAAAAGTTATGATAGAAAAAAAATAATGTTGGTATGCTTGGTGAATTACACTGTTACCTGATATATAAATATGTTTCTGGTGTAGTTTTAATTATTCCTATGTTAATCTTTTTAGATATTGTAAACATATAATTAGAAGAATCTCATTATTTTCCTGTATCTGTATTTGTGGTGCTGTTAAATACTTTTATAAATACTGAAGCGGAGTTATTACAACTTTTTAAATGGTTTTCTAACCACTAGGCACTCCAAAAAAACTTTATATTTTCCATATAATAATATAATATATTACAAATATTGTATATTTATTAAAAATAAGTTAGTTATTAGGTACTTAAAAATTCCAAAAAAAAAAAAAATTATACTTTTCGCATGATGCACGAATATCCATCCTGCCACGGTAATGAGCGCCTCACCGCCAACAACCGGATACATTATCTCAATAAACTAGTTCTTAAGATATAAAAAAATATTTGAACTCAAGAGACACTTTTTTAAAAACCATAATGCCAATAGTTCTTTTTACGAAATATACTAAAATAAAAAACGGGAATTTTGACAAAATCGATTTTGGTTTTTGGTGTAACTCTAAAACAAATGAACGTCTATACATGACATTTTTACTGGTTGTTTGTATTCAAATTTTATGAACACGATAAAATTTTCAAAATATTTTGATTTGTTTCGAACTGTTGAGGTACATTTTCATTTTCCAATTTTATTAATCTTTTTTTCTTTGAATGTCAATAAAACTTTATTTTAGAAGAAGCTTGAAAATTTAATGCAAGGCTCCTAATATATTATTACTATCACATTTGAAAAATATTAAACATGTAGCGATTTTGCTATTTTGTTGTTATTTAAAAACGAATAACTTTAGATACATGACAATTTTTCTGAATGTTTATATTTTCATTTTCTATACACAGGAATACATAGGCACAGTTTTTTTTATAAGCATTTATAGTTGTTAAATAGAATTTTTACAAAATGTATAAAATGTTTAACTTTTATAGCTAAGAATTGAAATTTAAAACAAGTGTCCACGTAAATATGTTATATATAAATTACTTTATCCACAATAATATATCATCAAATATCCTTAGTAATATCATAGGCTGACCGACTGTTTTCGCTCAGAATCCTTTTTTTTTATACAATGTTATTATATCATTTAATTCAAATTTAATACCATCCATTACAGTCACCAACTTGTAACCTACTGTACATTAGAGCGACAACCACTTGTCCACCTTTTTAAATTTATTTTTACAATGTATGCCAATTAACTTATGGTATAGTCATATTGTCTAATATTAATCTCATAAGTAATAATCAATCTAATCAATAAGTTGCAATGAACATTTCAGGGGAACTTTTAAAAATAAAAATAATACTATGAAATAACTAATAAGCCAAGGGGGGTCCGGACCCGGGGTCCACCCCACTGGGTTCGCCACTGCCTTGCAATGCCTCAAGTGATGTCACTGCCATACTGTATGCAAATAAAACATAATAAAATACATTTATACTAAAATAATCACATTTAAGAGGTTTTAAATATAATTTCAGATTACTTTGGAACATTTCATTTTTGGTGTTTATTTATTATACGCCGAAATTGATAACAATAAATGGATCTGTTAGTATTCCAATATATTACTATGTACTTTTAGTATTTGTATTATCAATACATGATGTGAGTAATAACTATTTATAAATAGGTGATTCAAATTAACACAATTTCAATTCAAATACTATTGTGATACATATTAATATCAATTTAGGGCGTCGGAGCCGGTGCGTTTCTTAGTACAAAAAAATGTATTACAAGAAAATCTCTCAGGCCCTGTAGAAGAGTTGGATTTCGTTAATATTTTTAGTTAAAAGAAGAAAACATTCTGATGCTCGGCTCTCTAATAAGACTCTGGTAAGACTGATTTCAAAAATTATAATTACCTATATAAGTTAAAATACGCATATGAATAATGCAAAATATTTGTTTTTTTTCAAACGTATTTTCTACCAATATTTAAAATAAAATGAAAATTCTGCCTTTTATCTGACGTGAAAAATGATCTCATCTTTTAAATAAAAAAAAAATTAATGAAATCCGACTTTCTAAAAGGTGTGAAAGTTTTTCCTGTGAAGTCATTTTCGTTGATACAATACACATATCAACCACTCCCTCTACCACTAAATATATATCAATCTGTAAATTAATGGAAAAGTATTATAATTAAGGTAGTAACAAAAATAAAATAGAATTTTTTTTAAATTTTATAGAAATTCGGAAATTTGAAAACCGGCACCGACACCCTTGAGAAAAATGTATTATGAGAAAAATATGAAATTAATAAAATATATCATGTATTATTAATTTTTCAATAATCCTGTGATTTCATTTATATAGATTATAGATACCATTATGATTGTGTCTTTATTAGCCTTTTTCTCTCGAATAAGTGATTCACGTTTTGGTGGTACCTACATGACGTTATTGAATACACTTTCAAATTTGGGAGGAGCATGGTCATCTCCAGTCACTATTGGAATGATAGATATTCTAACCTTTAAACAATGTTCTTTAGATAATAAGAACAAGAATAATTGCTCAACTCCAAATCTAAAAAACGTAAGAAATTCAAATAAAATTATTTGATTAATTTAGCAATAACAGGTTATTATTATGTTTAAATTTTAAATTTAAACTTTACCTCTGTATACTAGTTATACACAGGCACGTAGTTGTTGTATGATAGGAAACAAACATAAACATAAGGATAAGAAAAATATTTTAAAATTATAATGAAATTAATTTAACATTCTAAATAGATAAAACAGACTCGCCTAGCTATTATATTTAGCTATTATTGTTTCACTTTTTTTAAATGTACAAAATAATATAGTTTTCACTTCTAAGTTTTTGTTTTAATTTATTTCATTTTAGATTTAAACGATTGAATGGTGTTGAAATACCTATTTAAAATAATAATTATTCAATATTTTTTATTTACATTCTTTCCTTTTTTTGTTTTTTGATTATAGATGTGTACAACAATTGGAGGTGATTGCGTTGTTATAGTGAACGGGTATTACGTAGAAACGGCTGTGTGTACCATCATCGGAATCATATGGTTTTGTATTTTCAGAAATATCTTTAAAAATGTTCAAACTAAGGGCCGTTCTTATTGGTTGGTCAACATAAAGAGACAAAGAAAATGAAATAAAAATAAAAAATAAAAATATAGTATGTAATTATGTATGCAGAAAATAGAAAAAATATGCTACTTAGTATTTTACGTAGTTTTCTTTCTTTAACATTTGTTAACCTACGAAATTTAAAACTTGATTTTGGTTTTGGATTTTCTATACTATGAGATGAAATATTCAATCTAAAGTGTTGCTGTCGGTTATTAATATTTATAAGTATATAAATATTGGGCTTGTGACGATTTATCGCCAGATTAAAATCCGCATGTCATCCTTCCTAATGATTACTTACCTTATACCTTATAGCTGTATAAACTGGTTATATGTCAACTTCCAAGAATTAAACAGCAAATATTATCGCCGTTGTCACTGCTGTCGGCGCTTTGGAATTTTTTTTTAAAATTAAATACTGGTTTTTTGGTCGTAAAACCGGGTGTCGGTGATTTGGGGGTCGATGAATTGGGAACAAACAATTTTGATACAATAGTAGTACCTATAATCAATGATCATTTTTACTATTTAGTATTTACCTACATTGGTATACATTACTCACGGGATTAGGTCTAACAGAATCAATATGCGTAAACTTGAAAATCATCAGGTAAACACATTTGAAACTTATAAGACAACTAAGTAAATACATAGAACATATAGTATAAATATATATATATATATATAAATTATATTGTACAAATATTATTAAAATTGACGTTCATTGTATAATCTTTTTGTATTGACTGAAAAAATCTATTTATAATACATATTATTTTCATTAAAGTATTTTTATAATATTATAATATTAATATTAATATATAAAATATAAATATTAAAAACATATTAATATTAGAATAATATTATAAACCCTGAAAATAACTGAGGGCAATTGGTATATCGACCCAAAAAAGATAGAGCGCAATTGGTATATTAAAAGGTCATTTTAAGCGCAATTGGTAAACTCCCTTATTAACAACACCACACCTAGGTCCTAGGTCCAGTGCCCCAAACGGTCACACGGCGTCCACATGCCTTACCTAAAACTGACACAATAATTACTAGCCGCTAACAGTAGGTATACCTACTTATACAATCATATTAACAAAATGTTAAATTTTGTAACTAATTTATTTTTTATAGATTCTACTCGTCATTACGTGAGTGCTTAAATTTATTTTATTTAATAGGATGAGTGATCCTTGTTTTGGTATTATTTTTAATATTTTGTATATCGAGTTTGTTCACTTTTATAGTTTTACTTCAGTATAAATACAAATACTGCAGTGATGGGTATAAATATTTTTTGTTATTCTTAGTGTATATGCGTGCTTTATGCGTTTAATGTGTGTATCGTGAAGACTAAAAAAAAAATAACGGTACCAAAGCTCGAAGATGAACTCACACCAGTGGTAGTAGTTACTATTTAGTTGATGATTCGAATTTGGCGAAAGTCAAATTTGAAAGGAGATTGGTTGAACTCTTTCCTATTGTTGTTGCTTTAGTACTTTATAAGAAGTATGGTCCAATGGTTCATGATCAATGAAATTATCTATGGATAATATATGCTTTTAGTGATTGAATAATAGAAAAATACCATACAGGATAATTAATACTTTGCTTTTTCAATAAACCCCGGGAATCGAGTCGCCTTAACAGAATTAATTGATTGGAAAAAACTAAACCAATAAATACATATTATGGACATAAAAGATTAATCGAAAAAAAAATAATATTTAACATTGTATATATCTTTCAACTATAGTAAAATTTATATTATAAGCGAGTATGGTATTTTATTGTATCAACACACTGAATTAAAGTAATTTCGTTATCGCTCTTAATCTAAAAAAATTATAGAAATATGTTTATATAAAATAATAATAAACTATAATTTTTTCTAGTTTTCTTTGTTTAACATTTGTTAACCATTCTTCGAGCATATAAAATTTCAAACTGAATTTTGGTTTTGGATTTTAAATACCTTAAAATTAAATATCCATTACAAACTTTTTCTGTTAGTGTTTTTAATATAATTTATTAGTATACAAATATCGGGATTGTGACAATTAATTTCCCAATTTAAAGCCGCATGCCATCATTCCAAATCATTAATTACCTTAACTTACCTTATACGTGTACAAATTGTTATGCCAAGAAGTACATAGGAATTAGAAACCATTAAAAACCTGTCTTTTTTTTTGCTCGAAACCAGGTGTCGTCGATTTAAGAGTCTGGTAACTGGCCCAATAAAATACTATATTATGCCATATTGTTCTATAGCCCGATATAAAAACCGTAAGAAATTCATACATAGCAAGATAAAGAAAAAAGAGAATAGTTAAACTTCATTATTAATTATACCATTACCCCACCTGAGATTTAATTATTTAAATATTTAAAACAGAATATTTTGAATAGTTTGTCTATAACGAGTTTGTTCACTTTTATAATTTTACTTCAGTATAGATACGAAAACTTCAGTGATCGGTATAAATATTTTTAGTTATATTTCGTTATTCTTAGTGTTTATGCGTGTTTTATGCGTTTATGGTGTGTATAGTGAAGACTCAACCGTAAATATGACGGTACCAAAGCTTGAAGATGAACTAGAAAACCTCAGACCAGTGGTAGTAGTTGATGATTCGAATTCGGCCGAGAAGCCAAATTTGAAAGGTGATTGGTTGAATTTTTTCCTATTGTTGTTGCTGTATACGATGCAAGGCGTACCGTTTGGTTTAGCATTGGTAATGCCAATAATTTTGCAGAGCAAGAAAAATGTATCTTACAAAGATCAGGTAAATATCTGATTCAACATAAAAAAATGAGTACTTCTGCGATTATTGTATTTTATAATATAAAAGTTTAATATCAACAATGGCTTGACCGTGCGATTAATACTGTATAATATAAAATAATATAAATATAATATAATGTAATATCATTTTAATGTCTAATATTGACTTGTATCTAAATCTACAAAATTATATACTTAACCGCAGTGACGTACGCAGGATTTTTCAATGTAGGTGGGGATTCATTGAAAATTAATTATTGTTTAATTTTTATTTTGTCCAGTTTAATAAGTATAGATGTTTAGGTGAGGATTTCGGAAGAAAATTGGACCTAATGGGTACTTTCAGGAGATCGAAATTGAATATGTGCATTACTTTTTAAAATAATAATAAATAAATGAAAATTCGTTTAAGTTGTAATATTGTTATTAAAATAATTGTTTACCAAACCTCTTGGTTAGACCGCCTTTTGCTTGAATTACCTTTGATGAATAATTTTAGTTTTTTTTTTCTGAAAATATCTATGGGAACTTATTCGTATAAGGTCAAAAATCATAATTCTTAAAAATGTAATACAAAGTTCCTCATAAGTAGTTTTTTATAACTATTTAACTATCGATACATAGGCATGATTATTATTTAAAGTTCAAATTTTGTCAAAATCACAATTAATTGGTAATTAAAAATTCATAAAATGTTCAATTTCGATTTGCATGGCTAAGGCTTGAACTTTAAATAAATGGTCTCCCATATAAGTACCTAATTCACACTTTAACCAAAAAATTACTGATAATTTTGTGAATATTGTATTAAAAAACCGTGTCAGTGTGTCAATGTTTCTGCAAAAATGAAATCAACTTACCTATATTATAAGTTATGAATTATTATACTAAAAGAAATGTTAATATAATGTAAAATATCCGACTCTGACCAGAAATTCGATAGTAAAACGTATATCTAAATTAATTTATGTGTATATGTATATATATATTATATTTGTCTCTTTCATTTTGCGTTCTGACCAGTTTCGAAATAAATTCGAAATAAATAATACGTGTAAATTTTCATTGATAGAAACAACTGTTTGTAATAACCTGTTATTATAATTGTATAAACTATAAATTATACATTCCAGAAAACTATAAGGTACCTACCTTTGTTAATTTATATTGTAAATTATTAACTAAAAAAGGTGCTCTGTTTTTAAAATTATCGTACATGTTAAAACACAGTTACATTTATTTTAAGTTTTCAGTGCCTTGCAAATAAAATAAAAATTTTTTTGGTACCATCCAATACAAATGTTTACAATTGAAGTATCTCGTATCATTTGGCAAAATATAATACATGATTCTAGTATAAAAATATGGATCATGGCACATGCTATTTGATACATTAAAATAATAAAATTGTGTATCACGATATATGTACAAGATATAATTGTATCTTTGATACTGCCCAATCCTACTTAGCCCCTCCCCACCGATGCGTTCACCTCTGATTTACCATTATTTATAAGTTTATAACATAAACGTGGTCGTATTTTGTTCCAGGCTATATTCAGTTTAGTTGTATGGCCGGAAAGCTTAAAACTGATATGGGCCCCTTTGGTAGACGCGCTGTACGTGCAAAAGATGGGAAGACGAAAATCATGGCTCATACCGGTTCAATATTTAATGGGTGCGTGTATCAATGTAAATATTATGTCTCTGTTCTGCACGCTTATAAATACACATGTGGGAGTATCTCTTTAGATTATGACATGACTTGTGTAAGTATATGCCCTGTAACTGTGCGCGTATTGTTGGTACCTATAGGCTATAACCTATGTACTGTGAACATTTATAAACCATGATGCCTAGCATATATTTCAATATCTACCCACTCTATAGTCTATATCCACTTAATATAATATATTATAGTACATAAAAGTTTTGAAATTTCGATAAAAGGGATTGCTCGTTTAAAATAATGGAATATGTCTATTTTTAGTTTTTTTGAAATTCCATATTCATTAGAAAACCATGCGTACAACGACTTAAGATACACCCTTCATGGTATACGGTAGTGTCGTTCATCGTCCTTATCCATGTTCCTTAATCATTCGTGTTGAACAGGAGCATGCTTAATTTATATGGCCAGCAATATTGATGAATGGTTGCCAGAAACGCGAAAGCCAGACATACTGAAATTGGTATACTCATTTTTCTGCATGGGAATGTTGGCTGCCACGCTAGACATAGTTGTCGATGGTTGGTCATTAACAATGCTGAAGAGGTCAGTGTTATTGTTAACTTTTTTATTATTCCGAATATTTATAATATGTTATTATATTATACCTATGTTACATTTTGGTATTTACACAGGAATAACGTGGGATATGCATCTACTTGCAATTCAACCGGTCTGGTGATGGGCATTATGATAAGTTATATATTTTCAATCTTTTTTACTTCAGAAGACTTTAGCAACAAGTACTTACGGTTTAGGCCAGATGTAGGAGGGGTGTTCACTATGAACAGTAAGTGAATAAATCTGAGTATACTAGGATAACAATGATAACTGATTGTCAAAATAAAAGATTCTTACTTATTTCATTATTGTTAATTTTTACAGGTTTATTATATGCTTGGGGTGTTCTTTTTATATTAATAACTACATTGATTGCAATTTTTAAAAAAGAAAGAGATAACAGATTAGAGGATGACCACGTAAAGCTCAACATTGTTCAAAACTATTCACTTATATGGGACATTTTAAAACTACCTGGTATTAAATTATTGGCATTAACATTGCTGACAGCTAAGGTAAATAGAATATATAGATACCTAAGGAAAGAGTAATTAGTTACATGCACTAATTAATTAAAAATTTCCCCTAATAACACTGGCATTTTAAATATTTTACTCGCGTTGTTTCTATAGTAAATTAAATAACTATTTCCTTCATAATCATGATATGTGTAAATATATTTATTTCAAGTCTTACATACCGGTATCATTCGTATTGAACCTATAAAGTTTTGTTGGAATGATAGAATAATACATTTCATAGAATCAATATGTAGTACAGTTTTATTTTTATTTTATTCTTTTATCCATCAGTAAGTAATAATGTGTATTGTGTATATTATTCAAGATTGGATTTGCTGCAACTGACAGTCTTGCGATTTTAAAACTTATTGATGCGGGAGTACCAAAAGACAACGTTATGTTTATACAAACACCACTGTTTGTTGTAAAAATGTTTTTGCCACTAGTTGTAGCGAAATACACTTCTGGTCCGAAACCGATGAACGTATACCTAACAGCAACACCCTTCAGGTAGATAAACAAAATTAGGTACACAAAAATATAAGATTGGATGACATGTAGGTACTATTAACACTGCACTCCGAAGACTGAACGTAATAAAATCAATATAGGTAATATTTACATCGTAGATATGATACATTTTAACGTTTAATTAAATACCTTCAATTTTCCCACTTTACGTAATGTCCTAAATTTATAATAATTTCATATCGTAGGTAGTAATCATTAATAAATACTACAAATAGAATGTGGTAACGGTTACGTTTGAAAATACATCATAATTCATAATTGAAATATACAATTTTAGATGGTATTAATATTTAGGTACACATGATATATCATAAAATCGTACCAAACCGATATGGTACAATTCTTATGTATATTTAGTGTTGACCAAATTGTTGTGTAAATATATTCCATTGATCTTTATACTCCATATTTACCAATGTTATAAACTACATACAAATAATATATGATTAGAATGTTGATTCTACATTACTTTGTCACGAATTGGAACCTTACTAATTGAAAGAAAAATAGTTATATAGTTAACTTACTATTATTTCTCAAAAATTAAGTATGGTAATTGAAATGAAAAAAGTCTGGATTTTGAATACTTCAAGAATTTGTGTGAAATAGGAATATAACAAAAATGTAACTCAGGTGGGTAATTTAGCTACCTAGCTAATTTAGAGATTTAATATCACACCCAAATGGTATAATTACTTGAATAGTTGAATCCACAAAACGTTGGCGTGAACAGTCCCAAAATTTCTATTTTTTTTAACTTTTCTCCTAAACTATGATACCTAGCTAGAAAGTTGGTTGATAACTCATTAAAAAGGGATTATAAAGTAGACACTAAATGTGGAATTTAATTTTTTTTTTAATTATTTAATTTTGCATAGATAAAAAAAAAAGAGTTATTTTCTCTAGATTTTCATTTAGCGAGGTAGATCTCCGAAACTGGAGAACGGAATTTGTGTTTGGGGTCTTGTTAGATTCACATTGGCTAGGAGTAGTGCAGTGAAGATTTTCAGAACTTAATCTCCAATCGTTAATTCACTACAAAGCTGTAAAGATGAAAAACATCAAAAAACGCCCAATAAAATTAGTTTTAATTTTTTTTAATGTTCTGTAGTGAATTAACTATTAAAGATAAAGTTCTGCAAATCTTTATTGCACTTCTCCTAATCACTGTGAATCTAACAAGACCCCAAACAACGAAATCAGCTTTCTGGTTTCAGAGATCCATCTCACTAAATGAAAATGGAAATGATTTTTTGTGGGGCTGTTCCCACCTACATTTTTCTGGATTCAAATTGTTATACTGCTAGGGTGAGATATCAGTTAATAAATTTCTAAAAATTAAAAATCAAGGAAGTTTACGTGCCGATCCCTGACTTGGCAAGCGTTTTTTTTATACTAAAGGCTAAACGTGGTTATAGCCATAGACCTTATACTTAAGTTTAAGGTCTATGGTTATAGCCACGGACTAAGATAATATAATATATATAATATATATATTATACAGGACTAGACACGACAAGGTTGGAGGGTGTGGGGGGTTGACCACGAAATGCTATACTTATACAACAGGCGGAGTTCCGGAGGATATTTTCCTTTTAGCATTACTAGTGTTATAATTTTTTTTATTATAAGCAAAAAATATTTTAACAGATAACAATGTTTGAAAATTGATAAAAATAATTATAATTTAATATAATTTAAATTTTAAAAAAATCTGGAAATACTCATATTTCCTAGTAGCTAGCATATTACTAAATTTTTGTTTTGTAGACCGTACATTCGTAGTGCACATTGTGTGTCGTGGTGCACATAAAAATAGGGCCTGCCATACTGCAAAATAATAAAACATAATTAAATACAATTATATAATTATGTTCGCATTTAAGTGTTTTTAAATATTATTTCAGATTACTTTTGAATATTTCATTTGGGGTGTTTATTTACTATACACCGACATTGATAATAACGAATGGGTTTGTTAATATTCCAATGTATTACTATGCACTTTTAATATTTTTAGTGTCAATACAAGATGTGAGTAATAATATTTTATTAATTAATATGTGATTCAAATCAACACATTTTTAGTTAAAACACTGTTATGATTCTTTTTTATATCAGTCATGAAAAATATTTTATGTATGTCCATAACTTCTTGTGATTTCATTTGTATAGATTCTAGATAACATTATGAGAGTAGCTTTGTTATCTTTTTTCTCTCGAATAAGTGATTCACGTTTTGGTGGTACTTACATGTCATTATTGGGTACACTTTCAAGTTTGGGAGGAGCATGGTCGTCTTCGGTCACCATTGGAATGGTAGATTTCCTAACGTTTAAACAATGTTCTTTAGATCACCAGAATAGTTGCTCTACAGCAAATCTAAAAAACGTAAGTAATAAAAATATAATATTTATATTTTTATTAATATAAGCAATGTCAATTATTAAGAATATTAGGTATATGATAATTTATGATCACATTCTTAAAAATGTTTTGTCTTATCATTGCATAGACTAGTCGGTCTAGTCGAATATTATATTTTGTAAACTTAGATTTTTAAATATTAAGTCGAGTCCTGTATACTTTGTGGGCACGTGATTGTCTTATGATAGATAACAACTAACCTAACCACAAGTATATTTTTAAGTATATTTTTTTATATTTAAACGTTTTTAATTGTGTTGAAATAAATATTTGAAATAATAATTCTTCAATATGTATTTACATTCTTTCCTATTTTTGTTTTTTGATTATAGATGTGTAAAACAATTGGAGGTGATTGTGTTGTTATAGTGAACGGGTATTACGTAGAAACGGCTGTGTGCACCATTATAGGAATCATTTGGTTTTGTATATTTAGAAAGATCCTTAACAATATTCAAACTAAGGGCCGTTCTTATTGGTTGGTCGATATAAAGAGACCAAGATAATGAAATAAATGTATATTGCTCATTTATCCATAGTGATGAACATTTATTTATTATTTTAGTATTATTTATTATAATTATATCAATACTACAATTGTTAATCGGTTCTATATTGAGACTGATGTTTTATTATAGTTATGTATTAATATTTAATTTTATCACTTATAATATTATGTTAAGTTGTAATAAAGTCACAGCATACTGGTTTTATATAATCTATCCATGTCAACATCAAGTAACATCAGTCGCCTCGAACATATGACATAGTTTAAGTCACTATGAAATAAATATTGACTAGGTACCTAATCGGAAATATGATAATCTAGACACGCGGTAGCGTGTCAAGCCAAGTTCTAGGTAACAGAACTGGCGAGTAGCACTGTGTGTAATATTACACGAACCATTTGGAGCCATTTTTGACCCCCTCATAACTCAAATACTATTCCACATAAACATGTCAAATTTGGCTCATATATTGAGACTTACGAGATACATTTGTGCTCTAAGTTTCATAAACACACCTCAAACCGTTATTTAGATATTAACGTCCTAAAATCGTCATTTTTATCACTGACTGACTGACTGACCTATAGATCAAAATTCTAACCCAGTTCCAGATGACCTAGAAAGTTAAAATTTGGCATACAGATAGGTAGTTAGGTGAATACAAAGGAAAAATTAGAAACTTGTAAATTGTAAATTTTTAATTAATTGATCTATTATATTTAATTTTAAATCAAAATTTTAATAAAACATACTTATTTTTCTATGTATGTGATTAATATTAATTAAAAAAAAATTAAATAAATTATCTTACGATTATGAATTAACCACCCACCAGTAGAAATTATAGTAAATAAAATGATGATAATTAAAAATATACTCAAAAAGAGATAAAATAATTTTATATTTTATACTCTGTATACAACAGAAAATATTTTATAATAAATATTAATAATGTTATTAACGGAATTTTAGTATATAGTAATAAACTTTATTTATGGAATACTTCGTGGCTACTGGCTAGGTTATTTAAGGTTATGTTATAATTATTTACATACAATAAGTAATGATATCCCACCAAAAACATATATGTAAAATGAGAGCCAAGTTCAATACTATAATATATGCCTTGGCTGTTGACTTCACCGACAAAAGAAGTGAGATCTAAATGGGTGCTAAGTTAGGATGCAAGCTTAAGGCCAATTTCAACAACACAGTTAATCTCGGTTAAAGTTAACCGGACTTTAATCGGCCGAATTTGCCCCGTTAAATATCTGTTATCAGCCGATTAAGTGTAATCGACATTTAACTGTTTTGGTGAAATCGGCCCTTAGGATAATATATTGCAGCCTTAGGTCTCACTTGGCTACGAATTATATTATAGCCTTCGTAAGTTCTAAAGCTTTGAGTTCTTATTTTATTCTTCCGAAAATCATCTTCACTCTTCCATTACTGTTTTAGTAGGTACTTAATAATAATTCGTATATGAAAACTAGCCAAGTCAGACCTTAGGCTTCAATATATTATCCTAAGTTTGCGTCCTAACTTGGCACCCATTTAGATTTCACTTCTTTTGTCGTTGAAGTCAACAACCAAGGCAGTGGCGTTCACAGGATTTGTCAATAGGGGGGGGGGGGGGCTTGGAAATTAGTTACAATTTAATTTTTTTCTTTGTCCAGTCTAATAATTTCAGACGTTTGTTTGGGGTATTTTAAAATGTTTGTGACTTTTCAACTTTTCTGGTAGAAAAAATGATCTGATCATAAGCTTCGATGCCCAGTGTATGTTTTTGGAAGCAAATTGGATCTAGTTAGTACTTTTAGGAGGTTAAAATTGAAAATTCTTAGTGCTTTTAAAAATAATTGGAGAAAAAAAAATGAAAATTTATTTAAATTGTTTGGTAACAAGCTTGGTTATACCATCTTAACTTGGATTGTATTTGATTAATTAAAATTTTTTTTCCATCAATTTCAATAAAAAATTATATATCCGGTTAAAAAGCTTAAAAATGTAATACGTAAGTTTTTTTATTATAGCTAAAATATTAACAATACATAGGCATCATGGTTATTTTTTATAAGCATTTAAAGTTCAAATTTCGACAAAACCACGGTTAATTTGTAGTTCAAAACTTATAAAATATAAAATATGTATATCTAAGGCTAGACAATTTAATACAAGGTCTTTCATACAAGTAGCTCATACTTTTACCGAAAAATTACAGATAATTTATGAAAATTGGTATGCAAATACAATGTTTTTTCAAAAATGAATTCATTCTGGTAAGACATATCAATAAATGAGATTTACTATAGTTGACAGTTTAAACTTGATTAATATTTTTTTGAAAAAGTATTAATAATACGGGCAATTGGGGGAGCTTCAGCCCGTTAGCCTCCCCCCTGCGGAAGCCACTGAACCAAGACATATATTATAGTATTGAACTTGGCTCTCATTTTACATATATGTTTTTGGTGGGATCATTATAATATGATATGAAGGATAACTTATATGATTTATTATTTAACTACAATTAATTTTATTTATCCAAATAATTTCATAATGATATAGTGAAATGTTTGTTGTGAAAAAACTATAGAATATATGTTTTATTCGATGACTAAATACATGAATAGGCCGTATTAGGTACAAGTGTACAATGAAGCACAACTTATGTTTGTATTATGTGTATATATTTTTTCATGTCAACGCAAAATATGTACCTAATGAATGTAGAAAGCACCTATATAAATTATAAATTATAAATGGTTCTGAATTGCTACATTTATAGATTTGCTGTACTTAAAATTAGAATTGTTTTATTTAATATTTAATTTATGGAGTAGATTTTAAGTGACAAAGGAGCGCTGAATGAAATTAAAACTGGAAGTTTAGATGGTTTGATTGACCTACCCAGTACCCACCCCTTTATTTAGCAGAAATACTAGGAAATATACTCTATTATCTTACACATCTACTTAATTTACAAGGCTGCTCAATAAATTATTCTACCTGAAGTACGTGTTCAGCGCCACTGGTTGGACACCCATACACTGTTTATTTCTGCTTTTTGGAGAGTTGAACGCAGATAAATATCACACTGGCAGACTCTTATTATAATATTTTGTGTACCTAAATAAATATAATATTCAGATTGTAAAAAATGTGTTTTAAAATAAAGATTAAAGACTCTTAATCGTATTTGGCTAATAAAAATATTATATAATATACTAATATGTCTAATGTCTATGCGTAATACAATAAGGTAATTGATTTGTAATAAAAACTATTCAAACCAAAATAATCATTAATTTTGGTTATCGAAAGTCATAGTTCTTATGTAATTTTTATAGATTTAATAAACTATATCCCCTACCCATTTAATATGTAAATATAACTTTCTTCTTAACATAATATAGTAATTTCTGTGTATCATTGATGAACATTTTGAATATTTTATTAATACGCCTAACGCGTTTGTCCACTTTAACAGTTTTACTTCAGTATAGGTACGAACACTGCAGTGATCGGTACACACAGCTAAATACTTTTTATTATTTTTGGTTATTTGCCTTATGCGCAAAGTGTGAATATTGAAGACGTTACGGTAAAAATGACAGTCCCTCAGCTAGAAGAAGAACTAGAAAATCTCCCAGCGTTGGCAGTAGTTGATGATTCAAAATCTGCAGAGAAGCCAAATTTGAAAGGAGATTGGTTGAATTTTTTGCTGTTGTTATTACTATATACGATGCAAGGCATACCATATGGTTTAGCATTGGCCATGCCGATAATTTTGCAAAATTACAAAGATGTGACTTACAAAGATCAAGTAAATATCTGATTCAACTTCAAAAATTGCGAATCCGTGAGATTATTGTATTGTATAATATAAATGTTTAATATTGATTTGTGTCTTAATCGAAAAAATTGTATACTTCACTGTTACTCATAACATAAACGTGGTCGTGTTTTGTTTCAGACTCTATTCAGTTTTGTTCAATGGCCGAATAGCTTAAAACTGATATGGGCTCCTTTGGTAGACGCGCTGTACGTACAAAAGATGGGAAGACGAAAATCATGGATCATACCGGTTCAATATTCAATTGGTGCGTAAATTAGCATAAATCTTTCCGTTAGGTACGAACGTTTATTCAAACGAGGGAGTATTTCTTTCGATTGCGTTATGATTTGCAAAGGTGGGCAAGTTAATGAAAATGATTAACTCAACTACTCAAGTAGGTAGTCAAGTTAAAAGAACACAAAGTCGATAGATTAGAAGTTAACAATTAACAAATCATAAACATACATAACCGAATGTTATAGCATGATATATTTTTTAAATTAGCCGTTTAATCAGTGTTGCGAAATATCCAGATGAAAATGTCGTTATCTATTATCTTATCCAGATGATAAAATTCACTTATCTATATTAATTTACCTAGATAATTGTTTATGTATAGACATGTATTTAATATTACAGTATATTATACATTTTTACATTTGTGTTCTAAAACCATACTAATGTAATTTAATATAATTTTATAGTACTTTTAAATAGTATGAACAAATTCCAAGGAGTCATAAACTCATAAAATATAAAATATAGGTAATCATTTAGTTAACAAACAGAATAGATTTAAACAGTTCTGTGGTCAATATTCAATAATTTATTGTTGGGTGTTGCGTTAATATTTCATGTATAGGTACATGGTTATTTCTGATCGGTTGTGGTGACAGATAAACACAACGTTTTACATAACAATAGTAGGTATTATAAATTGTTATACAAATAGTATTATAGCGTATTTATGAGTTTACTGTTTTGAAGGATAATTAATCTATATTACACTGAAAAAAAAATTTGGTTATAGTAAATAGTTGGATAATTTTCAGTTGGCGTAACGTTGTATTTAATTACAACAAACAATGTGTTTACACAGAGAGTACTAAAATGAATTAGTTAAAAAGTTATAGTTGCACCAATATTATATAATTATATTGTATATTTGCATTTAATACTAGGTAGGTACGTATAACATTTTGTATATCCAGTGAAACTACCCGTCTACCCATGAAAACATAATTACTGGTGTGTTTTATAATACACTTATCAATATAGCATATAAAGCTTTAACGCAGGCAGTATCTGTGATTATCATTCTCTTGTGTTCTTGTAACCTAACCAATATTTGTTTATTATAATTAATAAATTAAAATGCTCGTAGCCCGTAGCATATTGCTTTATCCGTATTAAAAACCTCTGTGTCGAACAGGAGCATGTTTCATTTATATGGCTGGCAATATTAATAAATGGTTGCCGGAAACGGGTAGACCGGACATACTGATATTGGTATCAGTATTTCTGTTCATGAAAACATTGGCCGCCACGCAAGACATAGCCGTCGACGGTTGGGCACTGACGATGCTCAAGAAGTCAGTGTTATTGTTAACTTTGGTATAATATAATTGATAATGAATAAAACCGATTTCGCATTACTATATCACACAGGAATAACGTAGGCTTTGCATCTACATGCAATGCAAGCGGTCTATTGATTGGCGTAATGATAAGTTATGTTTCTTCCATCTTGTTGACGTCAGAAGACTTTAGCAACCAGTACTTACGATTCAGTCCAGGTGTGGGAGGAGTAATCACTATGAAAAGTAAGCGAGTAAAACTCAGTAAAATCCATTTTGGTATATCTTTAGTGGCTAATAAATATGCTTATAATGGGATAACAAAAATTACCGACTGTCAAAATATAAAATGTTCACCTAATTCTTAGTTCTTACAGGTTTATTCTATGTCTTGGGTATATTTTTTATATTAATAAGCACCTTGGTTGCAATGTTTAAAAAAGAAAAAGATAACAGATTAGAGGACGACCACGTAAAGCTCAACTTTGTTCAAAACTATTTGCTGCTATGGGACATTTTAAAACTACCTGGTATTCAAATATTGGCATTAACATTGCTGACAGCAAAGGTAAATATATTTAGAATAAAGATACCCAATCAAAAAATATTCGAAATTCCATTAATCCGGGGCTGGGAAAATGGACCTCCAGATATAAAATAAGAAATACTTAAGAAGGCCACCTGTACCTATGTTTTGTCTCCGTCCTACAAATGTACGATATAGCAAAAACTGTTTGGCGAGGGACAACTATATACTCCCTCTGTATTTTTAGTAGATTTATAAATAGAGATGAACTTTATCTGTGTCGTTATGTTTTTATTATTCAGATAACATGGATACAATTAAAGGTATCAGTTTGAAAACATTAGTTTTAAAGTATTCGAAAATACAGTTTTCAAGTGTACTCAAAAATTCCCACAATTAGAATTTGGTTATACTCATAATTTAAGCATACAAATACTGAGTAAGTTTAAAAAAATCAACCTGTATGTTATCATCTCTCACCACAAACTATATTGCTTATAGAGAGTAGGTAGGTATCAAATTAATGTATACGTTTAAAATTGTAATTTATTATATGAAGAAGTTGAAATGTATTATTATTATCATATAGGTACTTTTATCTCAAGTCTTACATAATATTATAATTACTTAGGTATTGAACCTTTAAAGTTCTCGTTCCGTTAGAATGAGTATACATAGTATGAAGTCTATATGTTTTATAATGTTACCTAATTTTTATTAACTTATCCAACAGTAACATTGTGCATATTGTATTTATTATTAAAGATCGGGTATGCTGCAACAGACAGTGTGTCAATTTTAAAACTCATTGATGCAGGAGTACCTAAAGAAAACATAATGGTTATAAACTCAACAATTTTAGTTATAAAAATGATTTTGCCATTTATTTTAGCGAAAATAACTTCTGGTCTAAAACCGATGAACTTATTCTTAACAGCAGCACCAGCCAGGTAGATAAACCTACATAACTTTTATGTTATACCTTATTATCTTATTAAGAAGGAAATACCATGGGGAGTATTACCAATTACTATGTATAATAAACTACATATAATTTTTGTTGTGTTTGACAGTATAGATTCGGATAAAACAAATGTATAAATTTTATATAATTTTTAAACAGGATAGTAGACAATATTCACAATTAATAGACGCCGTTTAGAAAATAGTAGTGGCAATAGTTCTTTTTACAAAAAATACCAAAATAAATAAATATTGTGTACTACTTACTTTAGTTATTAAAACTTTTATAGACCCTATTGTACCTAAAATAATGTATATAAAATAAATCCTGAAATCCTCAGTCATATACATAAAATATTTAATACAAATTACAAGAAAATATTTTTTTATTTTATTTAATAATACATTTATAATAATATCACATGGCCATTTAGTAGAAAATATACTTAAGATCAATTAAAAAAAACTATTATTTATCCATCGCAGAAAAATTTTAGTCAGGCCAAAATACAATCTTGATACATTTTACTAACGCATATGCCATATATACATACCTTGTAATACCTCAAATACCACTACGGCACTACCATATACTGTATGCAAATTAAACATAATAAATTACATTCATACTAAAATAATTTTTGAATTCAAGAGATTTTAAATATAATTTCAGATTACTTTGGAACCTTTCATTTTTGGCTTTTGTTTATTATACACCGACATTGATAACAATAAATGGATCTGTTAGTGTTCCAATATATTACTATGCACTTTTAGTATTTATATTATCAATACACGATGTGAGTAAAACTGTTAATTAATTAATAAAGATTAATTTGATTCAAGTTAACACAATGTTAATTTAAATATACTGTTATCATACATTTTAATAGCAATTAAGAAAAATGTATTAAGAGAATATTATGAACAATTAAAATATATTATGTATCAATAACTTTGTGTTTTCATTTGTATAGATTATAGCCAACACTATGCATGTATCTGCATTGGTTTTTTTCTCTCGAATAAGTGATTCCCGTTTTGGTGGTACTTACATGTCATTATTGGGTACACTTTTAAGTTTGGGAGGAGCATGGTCGTCTTCGGTCGCCATTGGAATGGTAGATTTCCTAACGTTTAAACAATGTTCTTTAGATCACCAGAATAGTTGCTCTACAAAAAATCTAAAAAACGTAAGTTATACAAATTTAATTATGTTTTGATTAATACAAGCAATGCCAATTATTAAGAATATTATATGATCATTTATAATAATATAATCACTATCTTAAAAATGTTTTGTTTAATCATTTCATAGACTAGTCGAATATTATATTTTTTAAACTTAGATTTTTAAATATTAAATCGAGTTCTGTATTTTTTGTGGGCACGTGATTGTTTTATGATAGGTAACAACTAACAACCACAAGTATAATTTTAAGTATATTTTTTTATATTTAAACGATTTTAATGGTGTTGAAAAAAGTATTTATAATAATAACTCTTCAATTTGTATTTACATTCTTACCTATTTTTTTTTTTTGATTATAGATGTGTAAAACAATTGGAGGTGACTGTGTTGTTATAGTGAACGGGTATTACGTAGAAACGGCTGTGTGCACCATTATGGGAATCATTTGGTTTTGTATATTTAGAAAGATCCTTAAAAATATTCAAACTAAGGGCCGTTCTTATTGGTTGGTCGATATAAAGAGACCAAGAAAATGAAATAATTGTATATTGGCATATGCCCATTTAGCTATAGTGATGAACATTTCAAGGGCCTAAATATCTATTGTAATTTATTTATTATTTCATTATTATACATAATTATATCAATGATATTGTTATTAGGTTCTTTAGGAATGGTTTCATCTATGATCTATCTAATATATGATGGAATCAAGAAGTTTTAATTACCTATAAAATGTATAACTATTAATCCGGTTCAGTGGCGTGGCGAAGGATATTTTTTGGGGCAACCGCCCCTAGTAAAATTTCAATTCTAAGAATTAATAAAAATTAATTAAAATACTAAGAACAGTAAGAACACCATGAACAAAATATATATATATAATGTGGTACCTATAAACCTATAACCTGGGTACCAAAAAATGTATTCGCCCCTACATAAAAACTTGTCGCCACGCCACTGATCCGGTTACCCTAATTTAGGGCCATTCACTTCGTTACAGTATAATGTATATAGGTAGTATTACCAATTTTATATTGCCAAGGTTCTATTATAAGTTATATATAATAAATATTAATGATTACCAAGATTTTGAAAATTAATTCAATTTAACATTAAAATGAATTCATATAAATCTTAGCAAACGTTAATTTGTGATTTTTGAGATTTCATTTTAAGTCATTTGGTTTTGTATTTTCAGAAAGATCCTTTAAAATGTTCAAACTATGTGCCCTTCACATTGGTTGGTCAATATAAAGAGACCATGAAAATGAAATAAATGTTTGTATATTGTCATATGCCCATTTAGCCATAGTAATGAACATTTCGAGTTTTTAAATATCTTTTGTAATTTATTTATTATTTTAGTATTATTCATTATAATTATATCAATAATACAATCGTTAATCAGTTCTCTATTGAGACTGATAATTTATTATAATTATGTATTAATATTTTATGTTGTCACTAATAATATGTAAGACGATATATGACATAGTTAAAGCCACTAAGAAATAAATATTGACTACCTCATCCAGTGGCGTACATTCAATTGTCTTATGGAGGGGGGGATTAAATAATATTATTTATACATGTTTATCAGAGTGCTCCACCCAATGCAATATATTTTATCAAAGACGAAAGACAATTGTTGTTAAAAGAGTTCACACTAATTTTTGTAATAATACTTTTATTAAAAAATGTAAAACAACTTAAAAAATAGACATATTGAATATTATACTACAACAAAAATTTCAAACGTCGTTTCTTGTTTGATAATTCAATAAGAACTTCGTCTGCGGTTAGGTATTTAGTAATGACGATTTATGGATAGCATAGTCTTTTGTCGTTGAAGTCAACAACCAAGGCAGTGGCGTTCACAGGATTTGTCAATGGGGGGGGGGGGGGGCTTGACAATTAGTTACAATTTAATTTTTATTTTGTCCAGTCTAATATTTTCAGACGTTTGTTTGGGGTATTTTAAAATGTTTGTGACTTTTCAACTTTTCTGGTAGACAAAATGCTCTGATCATAAGCTTCGATGCCCAGTGTATGTTTTTGGAAGCAAATTGGATCTAGTTAGTACTTTTAGGAGATCGAAATTGAAAAATCTTAGTGCTTTTAAAAATAATTGGAGAAAAAAAATGAAAATTTATTAATATTATTAAATTGTTACAATGAAGCACAACTTATGTTTGTATTATGTGTATATATTTTTCATGTCAAAGCAAAATATGTACCTAATGAATGTAGAAAGCACCTATATAAATTATAAATTATAAATGGTTCTGAATTAATAAATTTATAGATTTGCTGTACTTAAAATTAGAATTGTTTTATTTCATATTTAATTTATGGAGTAAATTTTAAGTGACAAAGGAGCGCTGAATGAAATTAAAACTGGAAGTTCAGATGGTTTGATTGACCTACCCAGTACCCACCCCTTAAAATGACTGAAACGAGCTTAACTAATTCAGATACATAATTTAATAAAATTCCTGGGGTTAATAAAGTTATAGCAGAAATACTAGGAAATATACTGTATTATCTTACAAATTTGCTTAATTTACAAGGCTGCTCAATAAATTATTCTACCTGAAGTACGTGTTCAGCGCCACTGGTTGGACACCCACACACTGTTTATTCCTGTTTTTTGGCGAGATGAACGCAGAGAAACATAACGCTGGCAGACTCCTAATGTAGTATTTTGTGTACCTACATAAATGTTATATACAGATTGTCAAAAAAAAATTTTAAAATAAAGATTAAAGACTCGTTGTCGTATTTGGCTAATAAAAATATCATATAATATATTAATATATTACCTATGTCTATGCGCAATAAGACATAAAACCATCTAAAGCTAACGAAAATAATAATATTATACCTCATCATATTATAACGAATAAAATCAACATTATAATACTATATGGTTGTATGTCAAGTACCTACAATATAGCAACTTATAATACCAAAATTACGTTCATATAATTTTTCAACGATTGTACCTATATTTCTAGATGTAGTCAAAAAGCAATTAGGTAAATAATAAATAAAAAACTCGACAATGTTTTAATGAGAATAAAATCATAAAATGTAGGTAAATTAAAAAAACACTAAAACACTTAGTAATTTGACAACATAATGTAGCAAATACTAAAAAAAAAATTAAGTATAATAAAACATAATATGTCTTTATAACAAAATTAGGACAATATAATAACTGTAAAAATAAAACAAAAATTTTATCGTTACATAAGAAAATTAAATAGTATAAAATGTGTAAAAGTTTTAAACTATCAATCAAACAATGTAGATGTTTTTACAAACAGCTCTTCATATCGACTGTACGTTACTCTAGGGTTAGTTCATTTGACATTTTATATTTAGAGTCAGAATATTGTAAAGATAAATTATTGATAAAAAAAAGGATTAATTTTTTAGTTTTAAAAATAGTTCTTATTATAGCACTGTGGCCCGGCTTATAAATGACGTCACCCGACCATTCTATACCTACGCCCTAAAATCTCTTTAAATAAATATTTTTTTTTTAAATTTAATTTTGACCAAAATAAATGGTTTTTAATAGCTCTGTTTAAAATAATTTAAAGAATACATTTTTTGTGTTTTGCGCATCATTCACTTGATTGCTCTCATGTAGACTCGATAACGAATCCAGATCAGTTATCAGAAGTATTATTGTATTATTAGGTCGATCTGTAGGATCGACTAAAAACACATATCTACTTTTAGCCAAATCAAGGACTGTTCTTTGTGATGCGACGTCCCTAAGGTGCCTTGTACGTACGACTGCGTATGCACGATGTATTGTGGAGATTCGAATGGAATAATAATTTTCTACACACAAAGTCTCAAGTCATGCAGGTACAAGCTTTAAATATTACCTATACTAAACTCCACCGATTTCCTTAAAAGAAATCTTTGTGTACAATGGACAGTGGTCCATCGTATATAAAAATTTGCAATAAAATAAAAAATAATTCATCTTATAATTTATTTGTAATAAAATAAAAAATAATTCATATTATAATTTATTTGTAATAAAATCTAACCCATAATAATCATTAACTGACATTCAAATCATTAAAACAATAATTAAATTATTAAAAATATTTAAATTTCAATAAAAAATTATTTATCCGGTCAAAAACCTTAAAAGCTTAATACGTAATTTTAGATTCTGAGTGAAACGATGAATGTATTGATTTTACTACGATGTGTGTTTTTTTTAATTTTTTAATTTTTTTAATTTTTTTTTATTTTTGTGTCTGTCATCACGTTTTAGGACAGTAAAAGTGCTTGGATTTTCTTCATCAGTAGCTTTTCTGATAGGAAAGTGAATCTAGTTGGTACTTTGAGGGGGTCTAAAGTATAAATTTCCCAGTAGTTTTCACAAACGCCGGGAAAAACAACATACAAATTAAGGAAAAACGGGAATTTTTACGCAAAATTGGTTTTCCAAAAAATTGATTTTGGTTTTTGGTGTAACTCTAAAACAAATGAACGTATATACATGAAATTTTCACTGGTTGTTTATATTTGCATTTTCTATACACGATAATATTTTCAAAATGTTTGATTTATTTTGAACTGTTTAGGGACATTTTCATTTTCCATTTTCTTTTAGTTTTTTTTCTAAAAATATCAATAAAATTTTATTTGTTGGTTGCGAAAGCTTGAAAATTTAATAGAAGGCTCCTAATATATTGTTTCAAAGGCAGATGAAAAATATTAAAAATCCTTAGTCACAATTTTTTTTTATAAGCATTTAAAGTTTAAAAATTGACAAAATATGGAAAAATCACGAAAATTAGCAAATTATTTGAGTTAAGAATTCGTAAAAATTTTTCTTTTTAAATCTAAGAATTGAAAATGAAACACAAGATTCCTTATAAGATTATCTACCTTTATCAATAAAAAAATCTCTATAAGAAAGTCAAATTAAATTTTTATGAGCGTTTGAAATTCAAATTTTACAACATTGAATATTCACTCGATTTCCCATGTAGCGATTTCCTTATTTTGTTGTAATTCAAAAACAAATAACTGTAGATACATGAAAATTTTACTCAATGTTTATATTAGCATTTCCTATACACCATACAATTTTGAAAATATTTTGACTCTTTTTGAGCTGTTTATGGACATTTACAGCTTTCAATTTTTTTTAGTTTTTTTTTCTATAAATATCAATAAAGTTTAATCTGTTTTGCCAAAAAGTGTAAAAATTTAATACAAGGCTCCTGATATATTGTTACAATAGCAGTTGAAAAATATTAAAAATACATAGCCACAGTTTTTTTTGTATAAACATTTAAAGATCAAATTTTGACAAAATTTATCAAAATCTCGAAAATGATCAATCATTGTAATTAATAAATTATAAAATGTTCAGTTTTTATAGCTAAGGATTACAAATTCAACACAAAGGTTCTCATAAATAGTTCATACTATAACCAAAAAATCTAAAAAATATATGAACACACTTATTTTTTACAGACATTTTATATTCAAA